GCCCTGGTGTGTACACGTGTCAGTCTTGGCCTTGTTTCAACATGTGTAAGTAATGGCCTTGGTGTCTACACATGTCAGTAATGGCCCTGGTGTCTACACGTGTCAGTCTTGACCTTGTTTCCACACGTGTCAGTAATGGCCTTGGTGTCTACACGTGTCAGTCTTGTCCTTGTTTCCACACATGTCAGTAATGGCCCTGGTGTGTACACGTGTCAGTAATGGCCCTGGTGTGTACACGTGTCAGTCTTGGCCTTGTTTCCACATGTGTCAGTAATGGCCCTGGTGTCTACACGTGTCAGTCTTGTCCTTGTTTCCACAAGTGTCAGTAATGGCACTGGTGTCTACACGTGTCAGTCTTGGCCTTGTTTCCACATGTGTCAGTAATGGCCCTGGTGTCTACACATGTCAGTAATGGCCCTGGTGTGTACATGTGTCAGTCTTGGCCTTGTTTCCACATGTGTCAGTAATGGCCTTGGTGTCTACACATGTCAGTAATGGCCCTGGTGTGTACACGTGTCAGTCTTGGCCTTGTTTCCACAAGTGTCAGTAATGGCCCTGGTGTCTACACATGTCAGTCTTGGCCTTGTTTCAACATGTGTCAGTAATGGCCTTGGTTTCTACATGTGTCAGTCTTGGCCTTGTTTCCACATGTGTCAGTAATGGCCTTGGTGTCTACACATGTCAGTAATGACCCTGGTGTCTACACGTGTCAGTAATGGCCTTGGTGTCTACACATGTCAGTAATGGCCTTGGTGTCCACACGTGTCAGTCTTGGCCTTGGTGTTCACATGTGTCAGTCTTGGCCTTGGTGTCTACACATATCAGTAATGGCCTTGGTGTCCACACGTGTCAGTCTTGGCCTTGTTTCCACATGTGTCAGTAATGGCCCTGGTGTCTACACATGTCAGTAATGGCCCTGGTGTGTACACGTGTCAGTCTTGTCCTTGTTTCCACACGTGTCAGTAATGGCCCTGGTGTGTACACGTGTCAGTCTTGGCCTTGTTTCCACATGTGTCAGTAATGGCCTTGGTGTCTACACATGTCAGAAAGGCCTTGGTGTCTACACATGTCAGTAATGGCCCTGGTGTGTACATGTGTCAGTCTTGGCCTTGTTTCCACATGTGTCAGTAATGGCCTTGGTGACTACACATGTCAGTAATGGCCCTGGTTTGTACACGTGTCAGTCTTGTCCTTGTTTCCACATGTGTCAGTAATGGCCTTGGTTTCTACATGTGTCAGTCTTGGCCTTGTTTCCAAATGTGTCAGTAATGGCCTTGGTGTCTACACATGTCAGTAATGGCTATGGTGTGTACACGTGTCAGTAATGGCCTTGTTTCCACATGTGTCAGTAATGGCCCTGGTGTCTACACGTGCCAGTCTTGGCCTTGGTTCCAAATGTGTCAGTAATGGCCTTGGTGTCTACACATGTCAGTAATGGCTATGGTGTGTACACCTGTCAGTCTTGGCCTTGGTTCCAAATGTGTCAGTAATGGCCTTGGTGTCTACACATGTCAGTCTTGTCCTTGATTTCCAGAAGTGTCAGTAATGGCCCTGGTGTCTACACATGTCAGCCTTGGCCTTGTTTCCACATGTGTCAGTAATGGCCTTGGTTTTGTACACATGTCAGTCTTGGCCCTGGTGTCTACACGTGTCAGTCTTGGCCTTGTTTCCACATGTGTAAGTAATGGCCTTGGTGTCTACACATGTCAGAAAGGCCTTGGTGTCTACACATGTCAGTAATGGCCCTGGTGTGTACACGTGTCAGTCTTGGCCTTGTTTCAACATGTGTAAGTAATGGCCTTGGTGTCTACACATGTCAGTAATGGCCCTGGTGTCTACACGTGTCAGTCTTGACCTTGTTTCCACACGTGTCAGTAATGGCCTTGGTGTCTACACGTGTCAGTCTTGTCCTTGTTTCCACACATGTCAGTAATGGCCCTGGTGTGTACACGTGTCAGTAATGGCCCTGGTGTGTACACGTGTCAGTCTTGGCCTTGTTTCCACATGTGTCAGTAATGGCCCTGGTGTCTACACGTGTCAGTCTTGTCCTTGTTTCCACAAGTGTCAGTAATGGCACTGGTGTCTACACGTGTCAGTCTTGGCCTTGTTTCCACATGTGTCAGTAATGGCCCTGGTGTCTACACATGTCAGTAATGGCCCTGGTGTGTACATGTGTCAGTCTTGGCCTTGTTTCCACATGTGTCAGTAATGGCCTTGGTGTCTACACATGTCAGTAATGGCCCTGGTGTGTACACGTGTCAGTCTTGGCCTTGTTTCCACAAGTGTCAGTAATGGCCCTGGTGTCTACACATGTCAGTCTTGGCCTTGTTTCAACATGTGTCAGTAATGGCCTTGGTTTCTACATGTGTCAGTCTTGGCCTTGTTTCCACATGTGTCAGTAATGGCCTTGGTGTCTACACATGTCAGTAATGACCCTGGTGTCTACACGTGTCAGTAATGGCCTTGGTGTCTACACATGTCAGTAATGGCCTTGGTGTCCACACGTGTCAGTCTTGGCCTTGGTGTTCACATGTGTCAGTCTTGGCCTTGGTGTCTACACATATCAGTAATGGCCTTGGTGTCCACACGTGTCAGTCTTGGCCTTGTTTCCACATGTGTCAGTAATGGCCCTGGTGTCTACACATGTCAGTAATGGCCCTGGTGTGTACACGTGTCAGTCTTGTCCTTGTTTCCACATGTGTCAGTAATGGCCCTGGTGTGTACACGTGTCAGTCTTGGCCTTGTTTCCACATGTGTCAGTAATGGCCTTGGTGTCTACACATGTCAGAAAGGCCTTGGTGTCTACACATGTCAGTAATGGCCCTGGTGTGTACATGTGTCAGTCTTGGCCTTGTTTCCACATGTGTCAGTAATGGCCTTGGTTTTGTACACATGTCAGTCTTGGCCCTGGTGTCTACACGTGTCAGTCTTGGCCTTGTTTTCACATGTGTCAGTAATGGCCCTGGTGTCTACACGTGTCAGTAATGGCCTTGTTTTCACACACTTCAGTAATGGCCTTGTGTTTTCACACACTTCAGTAATGGCATTGTATTTTCACACACTTCAGTAATGGCCTTGGGTGTGTACACGTGTCAGCCTTGGCCTTGTTTCCACATGTGTCAGTAATGGCCCTGGTGGCTACACATGTCAGTAATGACCCTGGTGTCTACATGTGTCAGTCTTGGCCTTGTTTCCACATGTGTCAGTAATGGCCTTGGTTTCTACATGTGTCAGTCTTGGCCTTGTTTCCACATGTGTCAGTAATGGCCTTGGTGTCTACACATGTCAGTAATGACCCTGGTGTCTACACGTGTCAGTAATGGCCTTGGTGTCTACACATGTCAGTAATGGCCTTGGTGTCCACACGTGTCAGTCTTGGCCTTGGTGTTCACATGTGTCAGTCTTGGCCTTGGTGTCTACACATATCAGTAATGGCCTTGGTGTCCACACGTGTCAGTCTTGGCCTTGTTTCCACATGTGTCAGTAATGGCCCTGGTGTCTACACATGTCAGTAATGGCCCTGGTGTGTACACGTGTCAGTCTTGTCCTTGTTTCCACATGTGTCAGTAATGGCCCTGGTGTGTACACGTGTCAGTCTTGGCCTTGTTTCCACATGTGTCAGTAATGGCCTTGGTGTCTACACATGTCAGAAAGGCCTTGGTGTCTACACATGTCAGTAATGGCCCTGGTGTGTACATGTGTCAGTCTTGGCCTTGTTTCCACATGTGTCAGTAATGGCCTTGGTGTCTACACATGTCAGTAATGGCCCTGGTTTGTACACGTGTCAGTCTTGGCCTTGTTTCCACAAGTGTCAGTAATGGCCCTGGTGTCTACACGTGTCAGTCTTGGCCTTATTTCCACATGTGTCAGTAATGGCCTTGGTTTCTACATGTGTCAGTCTTGGCCTTGTTTCCAAATGTGTCAGTAATGGCCTTGGTGTCTACACATGTCAGTAATGGCTATGGTGTGTACACGTGTCAGTAATGGCCTTGTTTCCACATGTGTCAGTAATGGCCCTGGTGTCTACACGTGTCAGTCTTGGCCTTGGTTCCAAATGTGTCAGTAATGGCCTTGGTGTCTACACATGTCAGTAATGGCTATGGTGTGTACACGTGTCAGTCTTGGCCTTGGTTCCAAATGTGTCAATAATGGCCTTGGTGTCTACACATGTCAGTCTTGTCCTTGATTTCCAGAAGTGTCAGTAATGGCCCTGGTGTCTACACATGTCAGCCTTGGCCTTGTTTCCACATGTGTCAGTAATGGCCTTGGTTTTGTACACATGTCAGTCTTGGCCCTGGTGTCTACACGTGTCAGTCTTGGCCTTGTTTCCACATGTGTCAGTAATGGCCCTGGTGTCTACACGTGTCAGTAATGGCCTTGTTTTCACACACTTCAGTAATGGCCTTGTGTTTTCACACACTTCAGTAATGGCATTGTATTTTCACACACTTCAGTAATGGCCTTGGGTGTGTACACGTGTCAGCCTTGGCCTTGTTTCCACATGTGTCAGTAATGGCCCTGGTGGCTACACATGTCAGTAATGGCCCTGGTGGCTACACATGTCAGTAATGGCCCTGGTGTCTACATGTGTCAGTCTTGGCCTTGTTTCCACATGTGTCAGTAATGACCTTGGTGTCTACACGTGTCAGTCTTGTCCGTGATTTCCACACGTGTCAGTAATGGCCTTGGTGTCTACACGTGTCAGTCTTGGCCTTGTTTCCACATGTGTCAGTAATGGCCTTGGTTTCTACACGTGTCAGTCTTGGCCCTGGTGTGTACACGTGTCAGTCTTGGCCTTGTTTCCACAAGTGTCAGTAATGGCCCTGGTGTCTACACGTCAGTCTTGGCCTTGTTTCCACATGTGTCAGTAATGGCCCTGGTGTCTACACATGTCAGTAATGGCCTTGTTTTCACACACTTCAGTAATGGCCTTGTGTTTTCACACACTTCAGTAATGGCCTTGGGTGTCCACATGTGTCAGTAAACAAACTTAGGATTACCTTGCAATAACATGGTGACAAGGGGTGTTCTGTCACTGGTCTTGGTCTGTGACACTGTGAGGTCTCCAGCTTCTAGCACTCTGTTCACTGGTGAGCCCCAGTTGATGATACCATTTGTCATGAACCGGTCCAACTCATCCTTGCTGCTACCAAATGCCTAACATGGAACACATATATTAGAAAACAGTTTTTCAACCTTAGCAAACTTTTACACATTAGTGACAACAAACATTCTGAAATACTGATATCCAGGAACAATGAAACAGTAAGTTGATTAACAGGAATATTCGATAAATCTTTGTTGAGTATATTGATATTAGTAAAATATACCACCATACTGTCTGATACCGATGCATTAAGGAGTATTGAAGTTAAGTAAAAACCTGAGTAAAATCTAAATTATTTTTACATTTGTATACTTATCCTGCATTACTCCTTAATGCATTGACTGCTTACCTTACGACAACAAAAGACAGCGCTCAGCGATAGTCCTGGGTAAAAAAAAGATGTTTCCGTTTTCAACTCCTGCTTTTTGCTCGGGCCATCACCGTTGTCATATGACCTTGATGACAAGTCACCTTCCTCACATCATTGCCTTTTGAGGCAAGACTGTGACGGTTGGGTCCTTAGACGTAGTAATGCAGGATAAGTATACAAATGTAATAACTATTTAGATTTTACTAAATTTTTTACTTATCCTGCATTACTCCTTAATGCATCTGTATCAGATGGTTTGGAGGTGGAAATACCTTCAGATGTCCAAAACCTCAATAATTCACACCCCAAAAATGACACATGTTTGTCAATAATCCGTGAGGTGGAAAAAGCACACCGGGTTGGTTCAATTTTATTTACAAGTGGAACATACGAATTCAAGTGTAACACCTGTGAGTGAGTGAGTGAGTATGGTTTTACGCCGCTTTTAGCAATATTCAAGCAATATCACAGCGCAGGACATAAGAAATGGGCTTCGCACATTGTACCCATGTCGGGAATCGAAACCTGGGTCTTTGGCGTGACGAGCGTACGCTTTAACCACTAGCCTACCCGACCGCCCTGTAATACCCTGTACACACTTGGTAATAAAGAATGATAGCGAAAGCTAAAATCTTTACCTACTGTGTCATTGAGCCAAGCTTGCCAACCATCCTGGTACAATGACCCTGCAAGGCTCACATTAGGTTAGTTGACCTAATTCCGGTGTTTATAGTCAGAAATCTTGACCTGTGATATTTAAATCACCCTGTGCATTAACCTCGAATCCGTAAAATGCCGGAGACGAGGTACCAGTTCCACACAAGGGACAGTCCACAGTGAACTGTATGGTGTGGTGTTTCCGAGTTCTGTGTAGGACAAGTGACTTGGCCGGTGTAGGTGCAAAATTGATCTCCCTGAATTTTTTTACGCCTGGTGCTGCCTGTACAATGATCCCCACAGATGAATACCCAGCAGCATATGACGATTTTGTCCAATGTCCAATCTTGAAGGTGTGAAGTTCTTCAAGTTTGGAACAACTGTCTTCCAGACACCACATGAATCAAATTCAACAAGTATTTGTCACAGAGTGACGAAATATCCCCCGCCTGTACACCATAGTACCAAATATGAAGACAATCCAGCGATTAGTTCTTGAGATATTGTGGCAACACCGTTTTCCAACTCCAAAAACAGATTTGCCTGCTGTGACCTTGAAAATGGGGTCAAGGTCACCAAAACCGACTGGTGTCTGCGGTGTCTGTATATTCACCATAGTTACAAATATGAAGACAATCCAGTGTTTAGTTCTTGAGATATCGCGGCAACACCGTTTTCCAACTCCAAAAGCAGATTTGCCTGCTGTGACCTTGAAAATGGGATCAAGGTCACCAAAACCGACTGGTGTCTGCGGAGTCTGTATATACACCATAGTTCCAAATATGAAGACAATCCAGTGTTTAGTTCTTGAGATATCGCGGCAACACCGTTTTCCAACTCCAAAAGCAGATTTGCCTGCTGTGACCTTGAAAATGGGATCAAGGTCACCAAAACCGACTGGTGTCTGCGGAGTCTGTATATACACCATAGTTCCAAATATGAAGACAATCCAGTGTTTAGTTCTTGAGATATCGCGGCAACAAACAGGTGGGACGTACGGACGGACGTACGGACGTACGGGACGGTCGTGAATACTATATCCCCCGCTTCGCGCTTTCGCGCGGCGGGGGATAACAAGAGTACTAACGTGAAATCGTTTAGCCAACGTTGAACATACATCGCTATACGGGAGAATTGGCAGAAAAATTTATAGCATGAGACCAGTCGCTGCCAAACGTTGAGGAAAAAAACAACCTCTGTTGGGAAATTTTTACCACAGTTGTAAATGGTTTAGACAATTGTCTTTGGTCTCAATCAGATCTTGTTGGAAAACCAGTGGGAAAATCAAGCTAAAGTGATATGAGCCTTCTGGTTTTGCCTCTGCCACGCCCTTTACCTCGAAGGAAATCTGGTCCTGACATTCCTTGAGGGATGAGTTTATTGGCTTACAATTGCCCGATCTGCCTGCCCACTGGGAGGAATTCTGATAAACGTGCTCCAATGCTTTGAGCGCAGTCTTGTTCCTGTGTTAGATACTTAACCGTTCGTTGAACAGGACGCTAGTTGATCAAGGTTGAAGTAGGAGCCTGCGCTTAAACTCGGAATCCCAGTTGGACAGCTCAAGCCTGCGGGCCACGGTAATCTCCATTAGTGTGGCCCTGAGATTGTTCCTCATGTGGTCTATTTGAAGCTGTTGGAAGTCAACCACAGTTTTGAGATGATTGATGCACTGCCGGATAAGTAGGTGGAACAGCGCTAAGCTGATCATGCGTCGCTGATGTAATGGGGTATACTGGCAGCCCTGAGGCTGATGTAATCGTAGATGCACCTGGAGGGTAGGCAGGCGCTGCGCTCAGCACAAGCCCTTGAGAAGCAACGCCCATGAGTGATGACTGGAATCTTGGCTTGTGTCTGCGCTACTGCAATCAAAGTGTTGTGATACACACGCACCAGCGTCGCAGAGGCGGTAGCACTGGAAGCCCTAGACGCCTGTAAATTAGAATCAGGTACGATAGTCACATTGGCCTCCTACACTGTTGAATTTGTAGGAGGGTGAATGTCTGCAGTCACTATTACGGAAGCCATATTACCAACCGAAGATAACGGTTGTGTAGTTATGACAGAAGAATGTCCGCTGCTTGCATCCTGCGACTGTGACACCTTCCTCCCAACACGACGGGACTGCTGTCTATAAATAGCAAAACTTGATGGAGAGAGAGGTGAACAAAAATTACATTTAAAGTTTGGAGAGCAAACTTGTGTGCAAGCCAAACAGCATAGATGAGGATCTTTGGAAGATTTTTTACCACGACAATTAGTACACCACGCAAGCAAATAGAGAGTTGTTGAGTGATATGGAGTTGAAAAATTGACACTCGAATTATACAAATATCTATCGGCAAATATTGTACGAGTTGAAAGTGTATACAATGACTCATGCAAACCCTGTGTAACGCCAAAGCTACCCATATTTAAAAACACATAAATATTTTATAGATACGTAGCTACGAACTGCAAACAATTTGACTACCCCTGCAGGTACACAATTGTAACACAAATTCAAAATGGCAGGAAACAACGAGCCACACCAAATCACCCCCATATTAATACACAAAATAGTGAAGGTAATATGAAAAGAATACATCACCCATCACAGATATAATCTAGAGTAACAGCCGAAGCTAAGGGTCTAAAAAAATCCAAATTGAAGAGCTCAGCCGAGAGACGTCCTTGCTGTTATACGACAGGCAGTGGTGTGAGGAAAGTGACTTGTCATCAAGGGCACATGACAGCGGCGATGGTCCATGCAAAAAGCAGGAGTTGAAAACGGAAACATCTTTTTTCACCCAAGACCATCACTGAGCGCTGTCTTTTGTTGTAAGGAAAACAGTGAATGAATTAAGGAGTAATGCAGGATAAGTAAAAAATATGAGTATTGGAGAATTTACTGTAATATTCAGTGATGTATTGAGATCTATGAGAGCGAAGACTTTACATTAAACAATGATATGCCTCCACTACTACTGGGAAAATACATAAATGTCATGTTCAGTCTTCTTGAGAAGTTTTTTTCCATCTACCGCTTTAATTTAAATAGAGGAATAGAAATATTTTTGTTAAGTAAGATGTATTTCTCAAAGGAGTGCTCAGGTTTGATACACTTATATTGATTGCCTTTAAAACTAGACAAGATCTTGCATTGCCATTCTTAGAGAAACTGATCCTTTTCAACATGGTCAGTGAGCCATTTAGTCCTATACTGATCGGGCTTTTCCAACAAATTACATAAACCAAAAGAGTTTAGAGTATTAGTTGTACATTCCAACTACTTATTATTATTTCCATTACTTTTTAAATCATAAGAAACAGAATCATAAACTTGGTGTGAGAGCTTCTTATTACCTTTTCTTGTTTTATGCCAGAAGTTTATCATTCTCTTATATACACCGTTAAACAAAGTAGCAATCTTCCAAATTAGTCATAAATCATGAAGTTTGGGGTACTGTTCCTAAGTAAAATAAAAATTAAGTTGTAATTTCTAAAAGATTTCTATAACTCTATACTTTGCAGCCATATAAGGAAAACCATTAATACCACTAAGAAGTAGTTTCTGCCATAGCACTACTCTCCACAGATTATCAGCCTTTTCAGAAGTCAATAAATGTGCAGTATAGTTTTCTTTTAGAGTTTCATTAAGTGTATCAGCATATTAATAATAGAAATATTATAATGGATGTTAATTATTTTCAAAGCCTGCTTGCGATGGGTTAAGAATATTATTACATTCCAGGAATTTATATAGGCCATGATTTAAAATACTCAGAATTGTAATGTGTCTGTATGATTTGGGATCAAAGGCCTGACCTATCTTCTAATAAACTGATTTAATAATGCCTTCTTCTTGGAATTACACCAGAGAAATTACCGGGTAATGTACACATTATCCAATGATCTAACTTGTTTGATCATTCAGTTTCAGTACAATCAATATCTGCTTTGTTCCATTTAAGTGAGGTAATTAATTCTCCCCGAAATAGACATTCGAGTCTTTTCATAAACACTTACAGGTTTAACATCATGCTGAAAAGCATGCATAAAGTCTACTCGGGATACTCGCAGCTTCTCTATAGCATCTGGGTCTACCTCCACTGTCGATGTTGCCTAGAAACAGATGGAAGAACATCATATACACAATGCAAGTGATCCATTGAAACTTGAAGTACACATAAAACCAATTGGTTTCTAAATATGTTTGTTCCCTGATTTTCTTATAGCATATATCTACAAATAGTACCATGGCACTGTAGGTCCCCTGGAGGAGTATTCAACAGAGAAAGCTACTTAAGAAGACCTTTTTCTGCATAAATATGTATCTGTTATAACTGCCACATTGAAAATCAGATTTTGGGTGTTACCAAATTTAAAATGTAAAATAATGCGAAAAATGGAGCATATATGTTGTGTCCTTAATGGTAACTAATCATACACTTCTTCAGTGTCCATATTAAAAATAGATTCCAAAGTCTTGAAAGAATGCTGCTTTTTCACTGGTGGGAAATAGCATGTCAAGTTTTAGATTGTTTGGTGCAGTGGTTTCAGAAGACATGATGTTTACAGTGCAAGCATTTGCATTTTGAGTTCAGTTAGTACAGGGAGGTGTCTGTGTTAGTACAGGGGGCTGTGTCTGTGTTAGTACGGGGAGGTGTCTGTGTTAGTACAGGGAGGTGTCTGTGTTAGTACAGGGAGGTGTCTGTGTTAGTACAGGGAGGTGTCTGTTAGTACAGGGAGGTGTCTGTTAGTACAGAGAGATGTCTGTGTAAGTACAGGGAGGTGTCTGTGTTAGTACAGGGAGGTGTCTGTGTTAGTACAGGGAGGTGTCTGTGTTAGTACAGGGGGCTGTGTCTGTGTTAGTACAGGGGGCTGTGTCTGTGTTAGTACAGGGGGCTGTGTCTGTGTTAGTACAGGGAGGTGTCTGTGTTAGTACAGGGAGGTGTGTCTGTGTTAGTACAGGGAGGTGTCTGTGTTAGTACAGGGGGCTGGGGCTGTGTCTGTTAGTACAGGGAGGTGTCTATGTTAGTACAGGGAGGTGTATGTGTTAGTACAGGGAGGTGTCTGTGTTAGTACAGGGGGCTGTGTCTGTGTTAGTACAGGGATGTGTCTGTGTTGGTACAGGAAGCTGTCTGTGTGTTGGTACAGGGGTGTGAGTCTGTGTTAGTGCAGGGGGCTGTGTCCGTGTTAGTGCAGGAGGCTGTGTCTGTGTTAGTGCAGGGAGGTGTCTGTGTTAGTGCAGGCGGCTGTGTCTGTGTTAGTACAGGGAGGTGTCTGTGTTAGTACAAGGGGCTGTGTCTGTGTTAGTACAGGGAGGTGTCTGTTAGTACAGGGGGCTGTGTCGGTACAGGGATGTGTCTGTGTTGGTACAGGAGGCTGTGTCTGTGTTGATACAGGAGGCTGTGTCTGTGTTTGTACAGGAGGCTGTGTCTGTGTTGTTACAGGAGGCTGTGTCTGTTAGTGCAGGGGGCTGTGTCTGTGTTGGTACAGGAGGCTGTGTCTGTGTTGGTACAGGGATATGTCTGTGTTGGTACAGGAGGCTGTGTCTGTGTTGGTACAGGAGGCTGTGTCTGTGTTGGTACAGGAGGCTGTGTCTGTGTTGGTACAGGAGGCTGTGTCTGTGTTGGTACAGGGATATGTCTGTGTTGGTACAGGAGGCTGTGTCTGTGTTGGTACAGGGATATGTCTGTGTTGGTACAGGAGGCTGTGTCTGTGTAAGTACAGGGGGCTGTGTCTGTGTTGGTACAGGGATATGTCTGTGTTGGTACAGGAGGCTGTGTCTGTGTTGGTACAGGAGGCTGTGTCTGTGTAAGTACAGGGGGCTGTGTCTGTGTTGGTACAGGGATATGTCTGTGTTGGTACAGGAGGCTGTGTCTGTGTTGGTACAGGGAGGTGTGTCTGTGTTTGTACAGGGGGCTGTGTCTGTGTTGGTACAGGGATGTGTCTGTGTTGGTACAGGGAGGTGTGTCTGTGTTTGTACAGGGGGCTGTGTCTGTTTTAATACAGGGATATGTCTGTGTTGGTACAGGAGGCTGTGTCTGTGTTGGTACAGGGGGCTGTGTCTGTGTTGGTACAGGGATATGTCTGTGTTGGTACAGGAGGCTGTGTCTGTGTTGGTACAGGGAGGTGTGTCTGTGTTTGTACAGGGGGCTGTGTCTGTTTTAATACAGGGATGTGTCTGTGTTGGTACAGGGAGGTGTCTGTGTTGGTACAGGGATGTGTTTGTGTTAGTGCAGGGGGCTGTGTTGGGTAAGTGCCGGTGGGCTGTGTCATGTTAATGCAGGGGCTGTCTGTGTTTGTACAAGGGAAGTGTCTGTTAGTGCAGGGGGCTGTGTCTGTGTTAGTGCAGGGGGCTGTGTCTGTGTTAGTGCAGGGGGCTGTGTCTGTGTTAGTGCAGGGGGGTTAATCTGTGTTAGTACAGGGAGGTTAATCTGTGTTAGTGCAAGGGGCTGTGTCTGTGTTAGTACAGGGAGATGAGTCTGTTTGTACAGGGAGGTGTCTGTGTTAGTGCAGGGGGCTGTGTCGTGTTAATGCAGGGGCTGTGTCTTGTTAGTACAGTGGGCTTTGACAGGGAAGTGTCTGTTTTAGCACAGGGAGGTGTCTGTGTTAGTGCAGGCGGCTGTGTCTGTGTTAGTGCAGGGGGCTGTGTCTGTGTTAGTGCAGGGATGTGTGCCTGTGTTAGTACAGGGAGGTTAATCTGTGTTAGTGCAAGGGGCTGTGTCTGTGTTAGTACAGGGAGATGAGTCTGTGTTAGTACAGGGAGATGAGTCTGTGTTAGTACAGGGAGGTGAGTCTGTGTTAGTGCAGGGGGCTGTGTTGTGTTAGTGCAGGGGGCCGTGTCGTGTTAATGCAGGGGCTGTGTCTTGTTAGTACAGGGGGCTGTGTTGTGTTTGTACAGGGGGTTGTGTTGTGTTAGTGCATGGAGGTGAGTCTGTTTGTACAGGGAGGTGTCTGTTTTAGCACAGGGAGGTGTCTGTGTTAGTGCAGGGGGCTGTGTCATGTTAGTGCAGGGAGGTGAGTGTGTTTGTACAGGGAAGTGTCTGTTTTAGCACAGGGAGGTTTCTGTGTTAGTGCAGGGGGCTGTGTCTGTGTTAGTACAGGGATGTGTGCCTGTGTTAGTACAGGGAGGTTAATCTGTGTTAGTGCAAGGGGCTGTGTCTGTGTTAGTACAGGGAGATGAGTCTGTGTTAGTACAGGGAGGTGAGTCTGTGTTAGTGCAGGGGGCTGTGTTGTGTTAGTGCAGGGGGCCGTGTCGTGTTAATGCAGGGGCTGTGTCTTGTTAGTACAGGGGGCTGTGTCTGTGTTAGTACAGGGAGGTGAGTGTGTTAGTGCAGGGGGCTGTGTTGTGTTAGTGCAGGGGGCCGTGTCGTGTTAATGCAGAGGCTGTGTCTTGTTAGTACAGGGGGCTGTGTTGTGTTTGTACAGGGGGTTGTGTTGTGTTAGTGCATGGAGGTGAGTCTGTTTGTACAGGGAGGTGTCTGTTTTAATACAGGGAGGTGTCTGTGTTAGTCCAGGGGGCTGTGTCGTGTTAGTACAGGGAGGTGTCTGTGTTAGTGCAGGGGGCTGTGGTCTGTTAGTGCAGGGAGGTGAGTGTGTTTGTACAGGGAGGTGTCTGTTTTAGAACAGGGAGTTGTCTGTGTTTGTACAGGGGGCTGTGTCGTGTTAGTACAGGGAGGTGTCTGTTTTAGCACAGGGAGGTGTCTGTGTTAGTGCAGGGGGCTGTGTCATGTTAGTGCAGGGAGCCGTGTCGTGTTAGTGCAGGGAGGTGAGTGTGTTTGTACAGGGAAGTGTCTGTTTTAGTACAGGGAGGTGAGTGTGTTTGTACAGGGAAGTGTCTGTTTTAGTACAGGGAGGTGTCTGTGTTAGTGCAGGGGAGGGGGTTCATGTTAGTGCAGGGAGTTGCGTGTGTTTGTACAAGGAGGTGTCTGTTTTAGTACAGGGAGGTGTCTGTGTTAGTACAGGGGGCTGTGTTGTGTTAGTGCAGGGGGCTGTGTCGTGTTAATGCAGGGGCTGTGTCTTGTTAGTACAGTGGGCTTTGTCTGTGTTTGTACAGGGAGGTGTCTGTTTTAGCACAGGGAGGTGTCTGTGTTAGTGCAGGGGGCTGTGTCATGTTAGTGCAGGGGGCCGTGTCGTGTTAGTGCAGGGAGGTGAGTCTGTGTTTGTACAGGGAAGTGTCTGTTTTGGTACAGGGAGGTGTCTGTGTTAGTGCAGGGGAGGGGGGTCATGTTAGTGCAGGGAGTTGCGTGTGTTTGTACAGGGCGGTGTCTGTTTTAGTACAGGGACGTGTCAGTGTTAGTGCAGGGGGCTGTGTCATGTTAGTGCAGGGAGGTGATTCTGTGTTCAGGAGGGGGGGGAGGTGTCATGTTAGTGCAGGGAGGTGCGTGTGTTTGTACAGGGAGGTGTCTGTTTTATCACAGGGAGGTGTCTGTGTAAGTGCAGGGGCTGTGTCATGTTAGTGCATGGAGGTGAGTGTGTTTGCACACGGAGGTGTCTGTTTAAGTACAGGGAGGTGTCTGTGATAGTGCAGGGGGCTGTGTCGTGTTAGTGCAGGGAGGTGAGTCTGTGTTTGTACAGGGAAGTGTCTGTTTTAGTACAGGGAGGTGTCTGTGTTAGTGCAGGGGGCTGTGTCATGTTAGTGCAGGGAGGTGAGTGTGTTTGTACAGGGAAGTGTCTGTTTTAGTACAGGGAAGTGTCTGTTTTAGTGCAGGGAGGTGTCTGTTTTAGTACAGGGAAGTGTCTGTGTTAGTGCAGGTGGGGGGGGGGTGTCATGTTAGTGCAGGGAGGTGCGTGTGTTTGTACAGGGAGGTGGGTGTGTTTGTACAGGGAGGTGTCTGTTTTAGCACAGGGAGACGTCTGTTAGTGCAGGGGGCTGTGTCATGTTAGTGCAGGGAGGTGAGTCTGTGTTTGTACAGGGATGTGAGTCTGTGTTTGTACAGAGAAGTGTCTGTTTTAGTACAGAGGGCTGTGAGGGTGAATTAAATGCGAAAAATGCGAGTGGTCTTTGCTCGCATTAATAAATATCGCATTTATATCAACAATAAGACATTCTGGATAGCAAAAATACCAACTTAGACATACGCTGCAAAACAAACAACTATGTATTCCACATCAGTGTTTATGGAGCAGAACTTGTAACAAGTATATAAACAATGTCATTCAAACACTAATTACATCCTGTGAAATGTCACTGATGGGGTCAAGACAAGAGTCCTACTCACTTATGTCATCACACCTGCAGTCCAGTCCAGGTGTCAGTCCAGACAGACGCCACCCTCGCAACATGGTGTCTTTGTTCTTTGCGACTGCGTCAAAGGCCGACACGAGCCAGCGTGCATGTATTGTTTCAGCAGAAGTACACTACACAGCGCTAATTAGCGGTGCTATTTGGTGTGTGATTGGATTAATATAATATTAGTAAAATCTAAATATTTTTTACATTTGTATACTTATCCTGCATTACTCCTTAATGCATTCACTGCTTACCTTACGACAAAAAAAACTGGGACAGCTAACCGGCGATGGTCCTTGGGTGAATTATTCTGTTCACAATCCAACTTTTATATCCCGCCGTCGCTGTCCCGGTGATCACGTGACCAAAGGTCAACTCTTCACATCACTGCCTGTCGCCCGAGCTTAAAAAAACATACTTTTGAGGTTTCTGAAGCCAAAGTGGGGAGGCAAGTCTGCGACGGGTGGGCCTTAAACGTAGTAATGCAGGATAAGTATACAAATGTAAAAAATATTTAGATTTTACTAAATTTTTTACTTATCCTGCATTACTCCTAAATGCATCTGTATGGGACGGTATGGAGGTGGGAAATCCTCAATACAGAAACCTCAATAATTCACACCCTGACACCTGACACAGATTAGTCAGTAACCCGTTAAGCGGAAAAGTTGAGAAAAAACGCTTATACGGTAGGGTATTACAATGTGGCAAACAATTGCACATGGGAATTAAAGAATAGTTCCCTATACATTTTAGTAATAAAGACAACGAGCTGCTCAGCCAAATCTTTACTTACTATATGATTATAGCCCTGATGACAATAACTTGTCTTCCCTTGGCGAAATCTGATCAATAACACCGAACAGGAAAAGGCTCTGTATAGGGCGTGTATATTATTTGCGTCGAGGGTTGGTGACTTGCTGAGCTACAACCAACGGCCCAAAACTGCGTACACCTTCAATGTCCTCGAGAGTCACATCGCGAAGATAATGACTAGCGAAAACTGTGTCAGACCTCCAAAACATCCTTCCATGATTGTCTTGATAGTACAATTGCTGTGTAAGGCCATGGTAGAGGCTAATGCCCTGATCTCATGAGGATTATTCGTTCTTGGTGGATCCAAATTGGCGATCGAATAAGCCTGAAGGATGACTGCGCGTAACCATAAGGATATGGTGTTGCGACTGACCTCGGTCGTGGATGTAGCAGATACGGGTATAAATAACCGCTTCCTCGAACCACGCCTAGTCTTGGAACGGCGGATGAAAATTCGCAGTGCCCGTACCGGACATAATAGAAGTTCACCCTCATCCTCACTGCCCACAATCGTCGAGATTGGTGGAATGGTGAAGGAACGATCAGGTTGGCCTGGTAATTGATTCTTGGCAATAAAATCCCAGCACAACCCTAGATGTACCGCTCCGTGCGTCCCATGCTCAAAACGAACCCGGGTGATGTCGATTGCATGTAATTCGCTCACCCGTGCCGCTGTGGCTAATGCCAAGAGAAACATTGTTTTCTTGGTGAGGTCATAAAATGAGGATGCATTGAGGGGCTCAAATGGGGGTCCTCGCAAACCTCGAAGTACCACGTTCAGATCCCACGCAGGTGGGCGGAACTTGGTCTTCTGATCCTCAAGCCTAAAAGAGCGTAATAAGGCCTGTAGTTCCGGGATCTTAGTAATCTTACGATTATCCGGAACGGCCAACACTGAGTTAAGTGCAACCAAGTACGTGGTAATGGTGCTACCTTTCAAGTGTCTCTGGGTACGCAGATGTAGGAGGTATTCAGCTAAAAACTGAGGTGACGCCGTAGTAGGATCTTGACCTTTTGCCTTGCAAAAAGTCTCAAATGATCCCCACTTATCATCGTAAAGGCTTCTAGTAGAGGGACGATGAGCTAAGGTTATAGCTTTAGCTGCCCGATCCGAATAGCCTTTGGCACTTAATGCCTTTTTAAGACGAACCAACCGTGCAGACGAAATTTGTCTGGTGTTGGATGAGGCAATTTGCTGTGAGGGTGGATTAGTAGGTTGGACCATTGTGGAAGGTGTAGTGGATCGTTTCCTGCTAGCTTCCTGAGCTCGACGAACCACCCTCTCGCTGGCCACCAGGGCGCGACCAAAGTCAGAGCAAGTGTTCTTGTCTCTTGGATCTTTTGTATTACCCTGGGAAGTAGAACTGGTGGCGGAAATGCATACGCCTTTATTCCTTCCCAAGGAATGCTGAATGCGTCCACCGCCCAAGCCTTCGGATCTGGTAACGGGGAGACATATGTCAAAAGTTGGTGGTTTTGGCAAGTTGCAAACAGGTCGATGTTTGGTTGCCCGAACTTCCGAACCAATAATTGGAATGCTTCTGTGTGAAGTTTCCACTCGGTGGGTGCTACCCTGTCTGGGCGTGATAGAGCATCGGCCAGAATATTTCGACATCCGGGGATGTGCTGAACTATGAACTGTAGTTGCAGCCGATCCACTAGATGGAAAAACCTGAATGTCTGTTGAAGTAGCGAGTTGGAGTGTGTTGTTCCCTGATTGCGCAGGCACCACACCACAGTGCTGTTGTCTGTGGATATGGATAGTTGGGTTGATTGTAGTTGATTCTGCCAATGGGATATGGCTAGAATTACGGCTTCCAACTCCAGATTGTTTATGTGCCATTTCCGATGAGCGCTTGACCATAGCCCTGAGACTGTCTGGTCTTGTAGGTGAGCACCCCACCCCTGAAGGGAGGCGTCTGCGAATAGGTGTAGATTCGGGGACAACCCTGATAAAGAGATTCCTCCTAAGACATTCGACTCTATCGTCCACCAACGGAGATAAGGTCTCAAATTCGTTGGTAGCATGATGGCCCTGAGTGGATCCTGACTCCTGATGTAGGGATTCAGGAATTGTTGTATTGGGCGTAACTGTAATCGGCCTCTGTTGGTTAGGTCCTGGGCTGAGGTGAGTAACCCTAGCAACACTTGCCATTGGTGAAGTGTGCGTGGTTGACAAAGAGCAGGTGACAGGAGGCGTAAAATCTTGTGCCATCTGTCCCTGGGAACCGACAGGAGGTTCTGATCTGTTTGAAATAGTCCTCCTATGAACTGGAGTCGAAATGATGGAGTTAACTCCGATTTCGCCTCGTTGACTATCCAACCCAGTTGATATAGTAGTCTTCTGGTGAATTCCCGGTGACATATTAACGTCGGTGTGTGTTGATGACACAGGAGACAGTCGTCTATGTACGACTGGAACCAAATGTTCCTCAGTTGTAGAAACACAGTTATGGGCTTCATTATTCGTGTAAATAGCCACGGGGCCACTGAAATGCCAAATGGGAGTACTGCCCACTGGTAGTGGACCCCATTGAACTGGAACCTGAGGAATCTGCGATCTTTGGAATGAATCGGTATGTGCAGATATGCATCCTGTAGATCGATACTGATCAAGGAATCGAACGCTTTTATGCTGGTTCTGAGTAGTCTCAATGTAATGAGGCGGAAATAGGGTGGACGCTTCAGATAGAGCTCGTTGAAAACAGAGAGATTGTGTATCATTCTCATCTTGTCTGAGCCCTTCTTGGGTACCAGGAAGATGTGAGAATAAAATCCCGGAGTTAGCGCTGGGGTGTGTATAATCTCTACGGCTCTTTTCTCCAATAGTAAGTCTATGTTGGCCTTTAAAAGGACATGTTGCTTCCTTGGATAATTCCCCGGAATGGGTGCCGTGGTCAACGGAGGAAAAACCTCTATGTCTAGTTGGTAACCGTGGCGTAGAATGTTGAGAACATAATCGTCCCTGAGGATGCTCCAGTTCTTCCAAAACCGATTCAGTCTCCCGCCTACAGGGGTATCGACAATTGGGACGACTGGGGGTAGGAGATCCCAGTCGTGACTGTCTAACATTTCAATGTTTGCCCCTCCTATCACCTCCCTTACTGTGGTATTTACCACGTCGGGATTGATAAGAACCCTGGGGTTTTCCTCTGCCACGCCCCTTGCCACGAAAAGAATCTTGCACCTGTCCTTCCTTAAGCGACTCACGTCTAGGCCTGTAGTTGCCTGACTTGCCCGATCGCTGGGAAAAATTTTGAGAAACATGCTCCAAAGCCTTGAGTGCTGTTTCATCCCTAGCGTAACTGGAAACCTTAGCGTGTGTGTCTGAAATCTGTTCGTTGAACAGAGATGATGAAGACCAAGGTTGACGTAGCAATCTGCGTTTAAACTCTGAGTCCCAAGTAGATAAGGCTAAATAACCCAATCTCCGAGTGACAGTTATTTCTGCCAACGCAGCTTTAAGATGATTTCTTATATGGTCAATCTGACGCTGTTGAAAATCAACTATAGTTTGGAGGTGATCTAGTCTGTTAGGATTATCCTCTGACAGATCCTGCTCTACCGCCCGAGTAGACGATGCTAATGCTGCTAAAGGTTTTAATACCCTTCGGATTTCTGTTTCAATAAACGCAACTCTGGTATCCTGAACCTTAAGAGTGGTAGGCCTTGACGAGCCTGTCATTCTGTGTATATCCTCATCCAAACTATGTGCCTGGTTTGCTGCCTCAAAGCCATGAATAGGAAATTCATCCTTCCTAAACCTGGGAGGTCTGAATGACGGTGTAAGTGTGAGCTTGGAGAAGTCCTCATCCAAAGATCTAATCATATCTGACATCATAGGGTCAATCGGAATCGACGTAGGATGTGTCCAAATAGTATCTTTTTTATCTACCCCACTACCCGGGGAAGGTACTGAAATGAGGCGGTCAGCTACCCAATCAGGTACTTGAGCCAGGCTAAGGTGAGTATTCCATTCGTTCGCGGAATCTCCCTCCTCACCATTAGAACCATCTGATGAATCAGAACGACGTTGATGTGTACGTCTTGATGGTGAACGACTTCTACTCCGATGTGCAATATTACCTCTGACCGAGGGCTTAGATGAACTGCCTGGTGACAAGGAATCATGAGTTGATGTCCAAGTACGGGCAGGTGTACTGGTACTACTCAACGAAGAATGTACTGTATTATGACTCATAATAGGAGTGTTATACACATTAGTCACTGGAGTAGGCGGTAAAATATGTGCCGTAGATGTAGTTGATGCAGGTGTCTGATACATAGGCATAGGTGTAGGCAAAGGCATAGGCGTAGGCATAGGCGTAGGCGTAGGCATAGGCGCAGGCGTAGGATACAGTTGTGTCATAGACTGCTGCCACATTGATTGTAGAAAATTTTGCATCCAATTAGTGTTTGGAATTGGCATAGGCGCCTGCGCTGGATACATTGGTACAGCGCTAAGCTGATCGTGCGCTGGTTGCGTAATATCATACGCTGATAACCCTTGGGCTGAAGTCATTGTAGAAGCGCTTGGGTAGTAGGGCTTGGCTGCGCTCGGCGCAGGCATATGAGGCGCAATGCTCAATGGAGTAGACTTGAGTCTAGCTTGGCTTGGCGCTATCCCCGACAACGCATCTTGAGACGCTGGCGCACTGTCTGCATACGTAACAGATGTAGAATTCTCCAAATTAGGTGCAATTATAATACGCCCAACATTCTCCGGGAGAGAAGATTCCGGTGGCATGTGCACCTCCGCGGTGACAGTTACGGCCGACCTATTATCCCTCATAGATAAAGGTTGCGTGGTAATGATCGAATCCTGTCCCTCGCTCATTTGCGATAGCGATAGAGACATTTTCCTTTTCTCAAGACGTGATTGCTGCAAAATACGTTTGTGAGTGACTTGCCTATACCTCGCGAAACTCTTTGGAGAGAGGTTTTTACAAAAAACACATTTAGAATTTGGTGCACAAATTTGTGTACATGACAAACAACGTGGGTGAGGATCTTGAATAGATTTTTTCCCACGACAATTAGTACAACGCGCAAGCATAAGTTACGCAATAATATACTAGAAGAAAACGGGACTGGAATTTACTGCCGTAGATAATTTCTCGGCAAAATATTTGAACGAGTTGATAGTGTATAAATGCTTGAATATACGCAACTCAATGAACCGCCAAAGCTAGAAGTATTGAAAACAACATATGAAATATGTTATACATACCTAGCCGATAATTGTAAACAATTGACTACCTTTACCAAGCAAACAATTGTAACACAATTCAAAATGGCGGGGAACAGATAGCACGTGGCGGGAAAAAAGACACGTCTCTTTTTCCGCCTCAAAATATCAAATACAACTTCACAACATGTTGAAAGTAATATGAAAGGTATACATCACCCATCGCAGAAGAATTTTAGAATGGTAGACGAATGGAAAGCCTAAATAAATCCAAAAAAACGAGAGCTCCGCTGGAAACGTCCTAGCTATGTCGCGACAGGCAGTGATGTGAAGAGTTGACCTTTGGTCACGTGATCACCGGGACAGCGACGGCGGGATATAAAAGTTGGATTGTGAACAGAATAATTCACCCAAGGACCATCGCCGGTTAGCTGTCCCAGTTTTTTTTTGTCGTAAGGTAAGCAGTGAATGCATTAAGGAGTAATGCAGGATAAGTAAAAAATTAGGATTATCCTGTAAACCTGACAGAGGACATTTTCTTTAGATATAAATCCACTGATTCTTGAGAGGAGGGAGGTGTCACATTCATATTGAGTCACATTTTTGGCTAGGGGCCAGCAGTCGTATTCTTTTGGAGACGCATTAATTCCACGATTTACAGTATTCCAATATCATGTTATTTCACTTTTTTAGCTTTTACTAAATATAATTAAAATAATAACAAGCATAGAAGCGAAGCACTTCGGTGCAGCTGATCGCTATTGCCAGTTATTTTTTATCACATGGAACAATTTGACAAGTCACCGTCTAGGCTCCCGCACACGTGATTGTGAGAACTACATTTTGACATAGAATTGTCAAACTACAACAAATATGACATTTAACAAGTCAAAGTATGGCATTTATGATATATGTATCCATTCTGTCAACTAAAGTTCATTTCAATGCGTCAATAGCGGTAATCTGACCGTGGTTGCTGTTAATAACGGTGAGTTGTGCGATTTTTCGATTGCTTCACACACAATTTCGCGGAAATTAATTAAAACAATATTAAAAGGAATTTTGAATAAAAGTATTGAAATAAGTCCAGATATACAATGAACACTTTTTATAACTAGACAGTGCAAATAACAAGATTACATTGTGTACTCTAATATGAATTTGTTGACATTGTAATGTCTTTGCATTGGGTAAAAAAAACAAAAAAACTCATTATGGCGTGTATAACACCCCCTTCTACACAGCTGTGTTTTGGGGGGAAAAAATGTGCACTATACTGAAGAAAATATGGTAGTTAGTACATGCTTACTTTGATAAGTCTGTTCATGGCTGTAGATTGAGCTGCTCTTACTAATCCCTCAATCTCAGCCCCACTGAAATTCTTTGTGATGGCAGCTAACTCAGGAATATCCACATCAGAATCCAACTTTCCGTTCTCCTTCATGGTCATAGTATGAATGTCAAGGATCTGGACACGTCCATGTTCATCTGGGAGACCTATAAAAACAGCCTGACGTGATGACAGTCATCGCTACATGGCACACTTCCTTACACATAGAATGTCGCCAATTACCATGACAGGTCTCACATGAAACTTAACATGATACACTGAGAGCTTTACCACTAAATATGACAGGCTCCTTTACACAGGATTATCATAATAAAACTTTTTTTTCCATTTTTTTAAATCCACACTCACTAATATTCCAGCTATTTGATTGCAGCCTGTAAATGATTGAGTTTGGAACAGACAATCTAGTGATTGATATGATGAGCAATGATCCACTCTGTACAATGACAAGCCAGTAAGCCTGACCACCCATCCACTAAGTCGCCTCTTACAGTTACAACCCGTACATGTTACTGGGGATCTATTCTAACCTGGAATCCCCATGGAGCTCACATTGGCAGTCATGATAAATGAGCATTTCTGATTAAATGCAAAGTTTTTATACATACCTGACGCTACAGAGTGCTATAAGTGTAGCGTCAGGTAAGATAAAACATATGCTTGTGACAAAAGTTACTGACCGATTTCCATCTGCACCTCAAGTCGGCCTGGTCGGAGGAGTGCATCATCAATCATGTCCTTCCTGTTAGTCATCCCTATGACAAGAATGTTGTTGAGCTGCTCCACTCCATCCAGCTTAGACAGCAGCTGGTTGACCACAGTGTCATGCACAGCCGTATTGCCAGCCTTCAATACAATCATGGGCAGCATTTGTGAAAGTGAAAATTCAATCTCAACAAAATCAATTCTTTGTGCTCACAACTGCTAAACAAAGATCTGAGGACATCTCTTTACGGATCATGTCAGAACGACCTTTCATTCGACCAATGTCGGGAAAGTGACAGTTGGAGTGAGTGAGTGAGTGAGTGGGGATAATAACGCTTTTTTTTAACAGTATTCCAGTTATATCACGGCTTGTCAGCTTAATGTTGGAGGAAAGCCCCAAGTGATGCAGGTCTCAGACGTTTACCACTTCGGTGAAACCCACGAGCACGGGTATGGTGCTGACAAACCTAGAAACATAATTGGGGCAAACCGGGATTCGAACCCACAATCATAGGTTTCTGGCGTGCCCAAGGGACGCAACTCTGCACAGCGAATTGCGGCACCTTAGACGACTGGGCCACCAGTACCCCCCAGTGACAGTTGGAATGTGTTTTCTGACAATGCAACCTCGAAAAGGTTAACATAGGTTATTTCAAACAACAGTCACGGGCGGTGTGACTGGTCCATCAAAATCATCAGCTATATCTTGTTTCAAGGGGAAAAATATTTCAAACTAAAGACAAGGGAAGTTTGTTTGATTGTTTATTGTTTAACACCGCACTCAGCAATATTACAGCTATATGATGGCGGTCAGTAAATAATCGAGTCTGCACCAGACTATCCAGTGATCGACATCATGAGCATTGGTCCATGAAACTGGGATATGAATACATGCATCAAGAAGGGAGCCTGACCATTTGATCACATTAGTCGCCTCTTACAACAAGCATAGTCACCTTGTGCGGCAAGCATAGGTTTGCTGAAGGCCTATGCCACACAATTTCGGCCATCTATGACACATTCCAGAATTTTCTTTTGTTCAGTTTTCAAAGCAAAATCTGGAAGTCACCAATTTGAAACTGGTGCCTTAAAGCTCAAGGAAGGAAGGTGCTTTCTGATTAGCAAATGTCACTTCTTGTAAGCAATTTCACTGGTCAGTCAAAGTTTGTGAACGGTCTTTCTGAAGTGAACTGTAATGGGATATCCTCAGATCTGTATGTAGTGAGCACTAAGATTTTAATGAGATTGGAGGAAATTGTAAGTTGCTGTGTTACCAATATCTAATTGTTACAATAAATGCTATAACAGACATACCACTGATCCTCTGGACTTGCATATGGCATCTATTTCATCAAAGATGATGATGTGTAGACCACTATTCCTGCCACACTGGATATAAGAAAAAAAAAACATCTGGTAAAAAATTCATCTTGGGTTACAGACTTGTTCATACTAAAATTTTCCTAAAAATATTGGTCCTTTCTACTCATTTTAGCCATTTATGTGTTAGGCCGTGTCAGAAGTCCGAAACGTGCATGTACAAAAACGAAAAAAGGTTAGTTGTCAGCCATGTGGACATCTTTGAACATTTTCATACCAATATTTCTATGACTTCTATAACTGTAAACTTGACATTTCCAATGGCTACATCAAGACTGCCAAGAGCTGTGTGAGTACACAAGACTGCCAAGAGCTGTGTGAGCACACAAGACTGCCAAGAGCTGTGTGAGCACACAAGACTGCCAAGAGCTGTGTGAGCACACAAGACTGCCAAGAGCTGTGTGAGCACACAAGACTGCCAAGAGCTGTGTGAGCACACAAGACTGCCAAGAGCTGTGTGAGCACACAAGACTGCCAAGAGCTGTGTGAGCACACAAGACTGCCAAGAGCTGTGTGAGCACACAAGACTGCCAAGAGCTGTGTGAGCACACAAGACTGCCAAGAGCAGTGTGAGTACACGAGACTGCCAAGAGCTGTGTGAGCACACAAGACTGCCAAGAGCTGTGTGAGCACACAAGACTGCCAAGTGCTGTGTGAGCACACAAGACTGCCAAGAGCTGTGTGAGTACACGAGACTGCCAAGAGCTGTGTGAGTACACGAGACTGCCAAGAGCTGTGTGAGTACACAAGACTGCCAAGTTCTGGGTGAGTACACGAGACTGCCAAGTGCTGTGTGAGTACATGAGACTGCCAAGAGCTGTGTGAGCACACAAGACTGCCAAGAGCTGTGTGAGCACACAAGACTGCCAAGAGCAGTGTGAGTACACGAGACTGCCAAGAGCAGTGTGAGTACACGAGACTGCCAAGAGCTGTGTGAGTACACAAGACTGCCAAGAGCTGTGTGAGTACACAAGACTGCCAAGAGCTGTGTGAGCACACAAGACTGCCAAGAGCTGTGTGAGTTCATGAGAAACCAGGTGAGGTGAAATGGGGTTTAACATCGCACCCAAGATTATTGCACTTATATAGCCACCTGCATACACGTGTAGGTGTATGTGGCTGTTTGTACTAGTCCGAACTGAAGCGGATTTATAGTGCTAGCCCACTGAGATACCATGCCGCAGTTTAACCCCACTTAGACACAGAATACCGACACCGAGCCAACCAGTCCTTGTTTTAGCCTCTAAATGCCGAGCGCCAGACAGGGTAACAACAAGTACCATCTTTTAAAGTCTTTTGGTATGTTGTGGCCGGGAATCACACCCCGGTCCTTCCGCTCTCCGGGTGGACGCTCTACCACTAGACCACGGAGGTGGTCTTCATGAGAAACCAAGAAATGTGAGTACACAAGTAACCAGGAGCTGTGTGAGTACACATTTCATCTAGGTTTTTGGTTTGGTTTGGTTTGGTTTGGTTTGATGTTTAACACCGCACTCAGCAATATTCCAGCTATATGACAGCAGTCTGTAAATAATCGAGTCTGGACCAGACAATCCAGTGATTGATATCATGAGCATCGATCCACGCAATTGGGATCGATGACATGCATCAACCAAGTCAGCGAGCCTGACCATCCGATCCCGTTAGTCGCCTCTTACGACAAGCATAATCGCCTTTTATGGCAAGCATGGGTTGCTGAAGACCTATTCTACCCCAGATCTTCACGGGTCCATTTCACCTAGAGCTGTATCAGTACAAAAGGCTGCATAATCCTACCCTCTTTTCTTCCTCTTCGGCTTCTGCAAACAGCTTCCGGACATTAGCTTCTGATTCACCTACATACTTGTCCAAAATCTGTGGGCCATTTACAATTTTGGGTTCCCGAGCATTAAGCATCTTTCCTATTTGTCTGAAAGGAAACAAAAGAAATGTTGTTATCCTCAAGTTATTAAGTCAAAACTTTACATGTGTTTTCCACAATTTCCTACCATTCAACAATTTGACCTGGGCACTACCATTTTTACTGTGGGTACATTACACGATATCTACAATGGTCTGATACATTGTCATAAGGGTCTGTGTCACTGACATTGAAGTCTGATTCATTGACAACTAAGTCTGATGCTCCTTGCCATCAGGGACTGACTCACACTGCCATTGAGGACTGACTCACCTTACTATCAGGGACTGACACAGTTGCCATCAGGGACTGACTCACCTTACTATTAGGGACTGACACACCTTACTATCAGGGACTGACTCACCTTACTATCAGGGACTGACTCACCTTACTATCAGGGACTGACACAGTTGCCATCAGGGAATGACTCACCTTACTATCAGGGACTGACTCACCTTACTACCAGGGACTGACACAGTTGCCTTCAGGGAATGACTCACCTTACTATCAGGGACTGACTCACCTTACTATATGGGACTGACTCATCTTACTATATGGGACTGACTCACCTTACTATCAGGGACTGACACAGTTGCCTTCAGGGACTGACTCACCTTACTATCAGGGACTGACTCACCTTACTATCAGGGACTGACACAGTTGCCTTCAAGGACTGACTCACCTTACTATCAGGGACTGACTCACCTTACTATCAGGGACTGACTCACCTTACTATCAGGGACTGACTCACCTTACTATCAGGGACTGACACAGTTGCCTTCAGGGAATGACTCACCTTACTATCAGGGACTGACACAGTTGCCTTCAAGGACTGACTCACCTTACTATCAGGGACTGACTCACCTTACTACCAGGGACTGACTCACCTTACTACCAGGGACTGACTCACCTTACTATCAGGGACTGACACAGTTGCCTTCAGGGAATGACTCACCTTACTATCAGGGACTGACTCACCTTACTATCAGGGACAGACTCACCTTACTATCAGGGACTAACACAGTTGCCATCAGAGAATGACTCACCTTACTATCAGGGACTGACTCACCTTACTACCAGGGACTGACACAGTTGCCATCAGGGACTGACTCACCTTACTATCAGGGACTGACTCACCTTACTATCAGGGACTGACACAGTTGCCTTCAGGGAATGACTCACCTTACTATCAGGGACTGACACAGTTGCCATCAGGGACTGACTCACCTTACTATATGGGACTGACTCACCTTACTATCAGGGACTGACACAGTTGCCATCAGGTACTGACTCACCTTACTATCAGGGACTGACTCAGTTGCCATCAGGGACTGATTCACATTGCGAGTAGGCTCTGATTCACAATGGTATCAGGGTCAGACTCACCTTGCCATCAGGGTCTTGCCAGTTCCAGGTGGGCCGAACAGCAATATGCCTCTGACATGCTTCATACCTGTGTTCACATACACAGTTATTAATGAACATGCCCAAGTGGTTCCAAATTCAAATAATGTTCTTCAAATTATGATGTTTCATAAAACCGTCAATGTGAAACGATTTGAATTTAACTGGATTAATATTTTTTTAAATAAAGAACTCTGCTGCCATCTCATCACTGTCAAATGACTATGATGAAGGACTGCAAAAATGATTGAAGAATGTAGAAACATAATAAAAAACGAGAATTTTCATATTCAAGTGGAGAGTGATGAATTCAACATTCTAAAATGGTTTTGAGGCAAATACTTATCACAACATTAACAAGATTGCATGACCCCAGTATCCATGAAGATGCAGGTAGAGGTCTTCAGCAATCCATGCTTGCCGTAAAAGGCAACTACGCTTGTCGTAAGAGGCGACTAACGAGATTGAGTGGTCAGGCTCGCTGACTTGCTTGATGCATGTCATCGTATCCCAACTGCGTAGATACATGCTCATGATGTCAATTAATGGATTGTATGGTCCAGACTCGATTATTTACAGACAGCCGTCATATAGCTGGAATATTGGTGAGTGCAGCATTAAACAAAACAAACAGACAAATCTTGTTGCTGAACCAAAACCTGATCCCAAAGGTGATCTCTTTCTCAGAGAGAACACTTCCATAAACACAAATCACCCAAACATGCCTACCACCAGGCATCATGTGAGTCAAGCAGCACACGGCTCTCTTTTCGTTGCACAGTACTATTATCTGTAGTTTTTTTAGTCATAAAAAATCTCAGACAACACTTTGAACTGTCGTTTTTTCAAACTATTTTCGTATTTGAAGTTATTTTTACTCCATCAGACCGTAAAGAAATATTCTATATCCCTGTGTAATTTTATTGTTGGAGATGACCCCAGAGCCGAACGAGCACAATGCTTGCATAACGTCTAATTTTCAGATCTTGCTCGGCATCCAGGAGGTTAAACAAATCTTATTGTAGTATCACTTGCCAATACAAGCATCAGCATTTGAAGGTAAAGATATCGATAGTTGTCATGGAGAATACATATCATATCAAAGCAGACATATTCTGCATCTGATTATTTTTTCACAACATTTTGCACCAACACCTGTTGCTCAGCGGTGGTGAATCAGTATTCACCGAACAAAGCATCCAAGAACAGTGCAATATGAAGCATAAGAGTGATAGTTTCTGTCAGTACACTGCAGTGAATGACTTCACTATAAAACAGTGCATTAACTAGTAATAATTATCATAATTATTCAATTATTATGACTGTAGGAGTGTTCCTTCATTACTTAATAGTATCATGCACTTACCAAACATGCTGTTTAAAAGATCCATACACTGTAAGGTAAACAGAATGTTAACAGATTTATTGCTTGTTGATTTTTTATTTTGCTTTAAACCTTGAGCAAATTTGATGAGATTTTGATTATTGCCTGTTTTAAAGTAGGTGACAACCTATCCATGAGATCTTCATGTGAATCTCATTGGTAACTTACCAATCTGCTCAACAACATCGGGAGGGAAAACTCGGGATGCAAATGCCCTTCTGAATATGGCAGAGAATTCATTGTCCAGGCCACCAATACCCATCTTGTTGAAGTCCCAGTCTGGGTTGATGATTGACTGATAGGTAGATTTCCTGGCAAAAAAACACTAATGGAATGAAACTTTGTGATGGCTGTTGCAGCGATAGTACACTAGATTCTGCCCCAATATGAACGTGTACACATCATATCATAGTAGATAAGCAATGGGGTGCTGGACACATTCTACCCTAGGTTCCCACAGGGCACTACCATAGGGATTACACACTAAATGTCTCTTTGATAAAGATTGAATGCACATACCCTTTAGATTTTCCTTTGAGATTCAGCATGGAATTTTCAGCTTTCTCAAAGATCACTGCAGAGTTGGGTGTCAACATGCCTTTATTAGCCTGCAAATAAAAAAGCTGTCTAAAAGATGCCCATCTTGCACCTTAGTCAATGTGGGAATGATGACGGTCAGATATCCTAGTAGTTAAAGCATACTCTTATCACGCCAATGACCCAGTTCGATTCCTGACATGGGTACAATATGTGAAGCCCATTTCTGGTGTCCCCCGCCATGATATTGCTGGAATATTGCTAAAAGTGGCATTAAACCATACTAACTCACTCAATGTGGGATGTAAATTTTTAAAATATATTTCTACAAATATCCAAAAGCATTTATACCAAAGATTTGACCAGTGTTTGCATCTCCAATCTCATGATGTATGTGAACAACAGAAACAACACACAAATACTGTTTACGAAAGTTGGCCCAACATTTTCAAGATTTAATCAAGTATCTCATTTTGTGTGTGGATTCATACTAGGAGACAAATTGTATCCAGGTAACAATATTTTAATTCTTAGTGATGCCCATAACCAAGTTGATAGAACATGTATTACATACCATGTTGCAAGGACCATACTTCTGGAATTATTGGCTAACTCAACACGTGTCAGCTAAAACAGTAAGTCCTTGATTTGAGTGAACCACCAGATGATGAAAATGATATTGATAATTCATTGATATTAATTCTACTTCAGTTCACCTCATAAAGAGTGAGTGAGTGAGTATGGTTTTACGCCGCTTTTAGCAATATTCCAGCAATATCACGGCGGGGGACACCAGAAATGGGCTTCACACATTGTAGCGTGACGAGCGAACGCTTTAACCACTAGGCTACCCGACCGCCCCCACCTCATAAAGAGGTCTGCTCAGTAGTGTCTACATGCATGTTTTATCTACTTCAGACATATTCATTACTTTTCGTGGTTTTCCCTCCATCTTCTCCTTGACAGCTGTGAAGTCCAGCACTGTTGACAGAAACACATCTTGTTAGCAAGGACCAACGTTATTTTTATACTCGGAACTCCCAAATGAGTTTGAGACAACCAGGAATTCGACAGATCCAAGTTTAACACGAGGAGGTTCGACTGTATATACAGTTATGCCTTGCTAATATGCTACCTTTGGGGTCCAAATAATTGATGAGGTGGAGTCTTAAGGGGTAGATGATCAACAAAACAGTATACATGCACTGCCTACCTAACACAAACAACACTGCACATTTCAAAGTTTAACAAAAAATTGAATAGTGGTTGTTTATGATTCATTGTGTAAAACAAAAGATTTATTGAGTGTTATCCGCTTTAAAAAAACACAGCGTATCCCTTCAGTGAATTCAGGTGAACGAACTGGTGCAACAAACTTTGTCAATAAAAATATGAAGTTTGATATAAAACACCACTAGACATGACGAGTAACCATTTAATTGTATTTCCTGCTGTCCAAGGCATTGTTTTATATGCAGGAGATTAAGATTGCTGTGTGTATTTTCTCGTAAACTAAGCCGGAAATAGCAATAAGCTGTGCACTCTTTCCTCCGAAACTACTGGTGATTCAGTTAAAAAGTACCCTATGATACAACTTCAAAGAATTTAGATGCAATGGTCAGAAGAAATTGTATCTGAAATTTTTAATTTTATCAGGAATAACAGATAGAGAATCTCACCTGAGTGTCTTTTGACATCAAATATATCAACATGAGTTGATAAAAGTGAAAAAACTCCAAGGCTTGCCGCGAAGTTTTTCCACTTTTATCAACATGTTTTGACATATTTGATATCAAAAGACACAGGGGGGAGATTTTATTTATCATCCAAAATCATTCTTCGAACTTTTTCAGTTTGTAGACAGTAAGAAGCAGTGTCTTAAGAGTAAAAAGTACTCATAACAGCTTCAGTAACAATGACGTCACAATATTCTGCAAAGCATTGTAAGTGAATGAGTGAGTATGGTTTTACGCCACTTTTAGTAATATTCCAGCAATATCACGGCGGGGGACACCAGAAATGGGCTTCACACATTGTACCCATGTCGGGAATCGAACCCTGGTTTTGGCGTGGCGAGCATGTGCTTTAACCACCAGGCTACCCGACCGCCCCTCAAAGCATTGTAATGCAATTACATTGCAGCAATATCTACAATGTAGATAGCCCTTGATCTCACCCAAGCAATATTTCTGTGGGAGCCAGTTTTGGATGATAAATTCCAATATCGTGTTATTTTAGTTGTAGCTTTCACTACACATATTTAAAATTATAAGAACATTTAATAAATATGACTTTTAACAAGTCAAAGTATGGCATTTATGATATATGTATCCATTCTCTTGCAACTAAAAGTCGTTTCAAGGCATCAATAGTGGTAATCTGACCGTAGTTGCTGTTAATAACGGTGAATTGTGCAATCTCCCGACCACTTCAAAAAACGATTTCGCCGAAATTAATGTAAACATTACTGAATGAAATTTTAAATAAAATTAATAAGATATATTACAAACATAAGTCCAGATAAACAATGAAAACCTTTTTATGACCAGGTAGTACAATAATGGGATTAAATTGCGTACTTCAGTTCGGATTTGTTGACTGGTATTTCCAGTGTTACGTGATCACTGTGATCAGCTGATAATGTTTTTTGAGAAGGGGAAAACATCGTGCTATTGGAAAACTTGAGTTTATTAAAAATGTATAATATATATATATATATCTGTCTATCTATCTAGTAAAGTCCTAGATATTTTTTATATTTGTTTAGTTATCCTGCATTACTCCTTAATGCATATTACTGCTTGTTCTTGACAGAGAAAAGAGCTGTGTGAAGGTCTTTGCTTGAAGCAGTTGCTCCAACTAGCTGAGAGGCCAGCCCATCACGCAGCTCCCACGTGACCAAAGTAAGTGATGTCACGGATCCTCACATTACTCTGGAGTCCGAAACATCGGAGGGCATTGTGGGGAGGTAGATCTGCGATTCTTTAGACACAGTAATGCAGGATAAAGATAAAAATATAAAAAATATCTAGGATTTTACTAGACTTTTTACTTATCCTGCATTACTCCTTAATGCATCTTTATCGGACGGAACCAGAGGCGGGCATACCTTCAGATGTGGACTGTCATCTTTTATTCCCAGACTCTGTTCCCTAGCCAATCCTTGGCTGTGTGGTCAGCTTTGGGTGACCACTCCATGTATGGGAACCTCCAATTCCCTCAGCCTGTCCTTGGCTGTGTGGTCGGCATCAGGTGACCACTCCATGTATGGGAAACATTGTTTCCCTCAGCCCGTCTTCGGCTGCATGGTCGGCCTGGATGACCATTACATGGAAGGGAAGAGTCAGGTATGCGTTGTGTCCTGGTACTGCGCAGCCTGACAATAACACTCGGTTAGGTCGAGACTGGGGCACAGAGCCGTATGCAAATGAGGCATGAACCTTCTATACCAGGGCTCACACCAGGGGAGGTCGAAAGGCCGGCTCTGGACTTGGAGGTGTAGTCAATGACGTGTTGTAGTGGTGACCTGCTGGGCCACTACTTACGGACAAAAGCTGTGCATGCCTTGCACATCCTCCAATGCGACGTCTCACAGGTACTGACTGGCAAAGACCGTGTTGGATCGCCAGAAACATCCATGATGTCGCGTAGAGAGCAGTTGCTGTGTAGCGCCATGGTGGAGGCGACCGGCCGGATCTCATGCGGGTTGTCGGAGCGTGGAGCGATCGTGTTGCGGCAGACTTCCGCTTGCGAGGTCGCAGATACCTGTACGAAGAGGCGTCGTTGTTGTCTACAGTGTTCCCTCGATCGTCGGATGTAGCAACGAAGCGCTCTAACCGGACATAGACGGAGCTCTAGTTCATCTTCCGTGCCCACAATCGATGACAGGGGGGGGGGATGAGGAACGATCTATCGGGCTGGCCTGGGAGCTGATTCTTTGCAATGAAGCCCCAGCACAGGCCCAGATGCACGGCTCCGTGTGCTCCCTGCTCAAAGCGGACCCGTGTGATGTCTAGGACGTGTAGCTCACTGACACAGGCTGCTGTGGCGAGCGCCAGTAGTAAGACAGATTGTAGAATGACAACGTTTCGAGTGGCTCGAAAGGCGCGTCTCTCAGCGAGGTGAGAATGATGTTCAAGTCCCAAGCTGGGGGGACGGAACTTCGCCTTTTGGTCTTCCAGTCTGAATGAGCGAAGCAGTGCCTGGAGTTCCGGGATTTTTGTCATGCGCTGATCTTTCGGAACTGCCAGGACGGAGTTGAGCGCCACAAGGTAGGTAATGATGGTACTGCCCTTGAGCTCACACTTGTGACCCAGATGGAGTATGAACTCGGCCAGGAATTGAGGCGATGCAGATGTGGGGTCTTGGTGCCTGCCCCTGCAAAAGCTCTCAAAGGATTGCCACTTGTCATGATAGAGGCTCCTGGTGGTTGGGCGATGTGCCATCATGATAGCCCTGGCCGCTCTAGCTGAGTAGCCTTTGGCGTTCAGTGCTCTCTGTAAATCGACCAGACGCGAAGACATAACCTGTCTGGTCCTGGGTGTGGCTGTCTGCTGTGAGGGTGGATCAGCAGATTTGGTCAATCTGGGAATGGCAGTGGGTTGACGACGGACAGCTCTCTGAGGTCGACGAACCAAGCCCTCGCTGGCCACCAAGGCGCGACCAAAGTCAGATTGAGGTTCCGTGTCGGTCTGATCTTCTGGATGACTTTGGGAAGGAGTACAGGTGGCGGAAAAGCGTATGCTTTTAGTCCTTCCCAGGGGACACTGAAAGCGTCGACTGCCCAAGCCAGTGGATCCGGCACCGGAGATATGTAGTTCTGGTAGTTCCGGTTGGTGGCGAATAGGTCTATGTTAGGGAGACCGTGGACTCGACAAACAAGAGCGAAGGCGTCTGGATGAAGTTTCCACTCTGTGGGAGCCACTTTTCCTGGGCGAGATAGGGCATCCGCTAGGATGTTTCGGCAGCCCGGGATGTGGTGGACCTGGAACTGAATCCCCAGATGATCCACCACGTGAAACAATCGGAACGTCTGTTGAAGGAGCGAAGTCGAATGAGTCGTTCCTTGGTTCCAAAGGCACCATACGACAGTTATGTTGTCCGTCGAGATGGAGAGCCTGGCATGTCTGAGGGCCTGCTTCCGGTGTGCGATGGCCAAGATAAGCGCTTCCAGTTCGAGGTTGTTGATTTGCCATAGGTGCTGATCGGCTGACCACAGCCCTGAGACGACCTGTCCCTCCAGGTGTGCGCCCCATCCCTGTAGGGACGCGTCTACGAATAGATGCAGAAAGGTCGTAAGCCCTGTCAAGGAGACGCCGCCTAAGACATTCGATTCCACCGTCCACCACCGGAGATGCTGCTTGAGATGATCCGGGAGGATGATGGATACAGAGGGGTCCTGGCGCCTGATGTAGGGCACCAGGAACATCTGAACTGGGCGCAGTTGGAGCCTTCCTCTGTAGGTCAAGTCCTGCGCTGAGGTTAGGAGGCACAGGAGGATTTGCCATTGACGCAGAGTGCTTGGTAAGTGGAGAGCTGGAGTCAGGTGCGCCTGCATGCGCTCCCACTGGTCTCTGGGTACAGAGATGAGATCGAGGTCCGTCTGGAAGAGGCCTCCAATTAACTGAAGGCGCTTGGAGGGTGTCAACTCTGACTTCCTGAGGTTGATCTTCCACCCCAGCTGGTGTAGGAGCCTGAGGGTGAAGTCCCTGTAGCGGAGTAGAGTGACAGGGTCTCGATGGTCCAGTAGGCAGTCGTGTGAATAGCCATGGGGCCGAAGAAATTCCAAAGGGAGGACCACCTATTGATAATGGACTCCCATGAAGATGAAGCGGAGGAATTTCCGGTGGTCGGGATGTATAGGGACATGTAGGTAGGCGTCCTCGATATCCAGGGTGATGAGCGCCTCCTGTGCCAGGATCTGGGATCGCTGTAGCCTGAGCGTGGTCATCCTGAAATAAGGTGGGCGCGCCAGGTAGTGTTTGTTGAAAGCGGCAAGGTTGTGGATCATCCTGTGTTTGTCCGAGTCCTTCTAGGGGACCAGGAAGACAGGTGAGTAGAAGCCCGGTGTTATGGCTGGGGCGTGAACAACCTCTATGGCTTTCTTATCTAGCAGCACCCTGATGTTCCGGCTCATTAGCTGCTGTTGGGTGGGGGGTATGTGTCCACTATGGGTGACGACGTAAGTGGCAGGTCGTCTATAAGCGTCAGCTTGTACCCGTATCGGATGACGTTGGTGACGTATGGGTCCCCCAGGATCTCCCAATTCTGCAAGAAGTGAGTCAGTCTCCCACCTGCTGCGGTGTCAACAACTTGGACAGCTGGGGGTGGGAGGTCCCAGTCGTGCCTCTCTGGCGATTCACTGGAGGTCCCTGCGGTCGGCTTTACCTCCTTTGGGGTAGCTGTGACGGGACTGGTATGAGCCTGAGCAATTTCCTTTCCCCTTGCCTCTGCCCCGAGAGGTTGAGGTGGAGCCCTGCCCCCGAGTCTGGAGAGTGTTGCGTCGGGGCTGGTAGGAGCCAGACTGGGACGCCTTAGCAAAGGCTGGCTGTGACACCCTGGCCAGGGCCTTGAGAGCCGTCTCATCAAGGACAAAGGCTGAGACCCGGGAGTGTGTCTTGTATATCTGTCCACTAAAAAAGGTCAGAGCCGGACCAAGGTTGACGCAAAAGGTCTCTCTTGAACTCTGGGTCCCAATTCGACAAGGCAAGGTACCCAAGGCATCTAGTGGTAGTGAGTTAGATCAGAGAGGTGCACATGTTGGAGCGAATCTGTTCCACTTGTCATTGGAGGTAGGATATAACCTTAGATAGATGGTCAATCCTATGGGGGTTGTCCTCCGATAAGTCCTGCAGTGTAGCCCTGGAAGACGATGCCATCAGTTAGATAGGTTTGAGCGTGTGGCGAATCTCGGTTTCCACGTAGGCGAGTTCGCTGTCGGAAACTCGGACTGAGGTGGAGCGATTTGATCCCATCATGCGGTGCATGTCCTCATCTAAGGAGTGAGTGTGGTCCGCAACTTGAAGAGAGTGGACTGGGAAGTCTGCCTGCCAGCCAGTCTGCGACTTGATCAAAACCCAGGTGGGATTCGCCTTCTGGCCTGTAAGTACTGAATGTACTGGAGGAGAGAGGCGTCTATCATGGGCGTCTGTGCAGTAGGCGGGGTTGCCTGTGGGAGATCAAGCGTCTGTCCGGAGGATAGTATAGGCCCCGTCTGGTATGTGAGCGCCACGCTGGGCGTCAAGGTGGTCGCCGCCATAAAGATAGAGACTGCGACCGTGGGGTCGGACATCAAGGTAGCAGTTGAGGTCGGGGGGTAGTCTTCCGAGATGGCCGATCTCGGACATCGTGCACCGGTGTTTCCTGGCATGCTGTGTTCTGCGTTACTTACACACATGGTGGTACTGACTGAAAGCTGTGGGTGAAAGCAGTAAACAGTCTTTAAATTGGTGACCCTGGAGGCATTGAGACATAGAGACATACAATTAAGGCACAGGGGGTGGGGATCCCACGCCGACATAATGCGCCGGCACTTTGAGCAGGAGGGCATGATATCTGCAACAAAGCAGTGTAAAATCACAATGCGTCCCCGCCAGATTATGTATGCTATAATTTGTTTATCCCACTGTGTGGGTTTATGAAACAAATATTATGACAAACGTAAGACAACATACAACAAAACAAACAATACGTGCGAGGTTACGCCAATTGTGGGGTACCAAGCAAAAGAATATAAAACAAAAACCAGTTCACTAACTGCTGTCTACGTAAAATATTCAAGATGGCTACTTGGAACAACAAGACACCTGGCATTATGTTTTCTTTTGAGAAAACGCCAGTAAGTGTCTAATAACGTTATGCACATGTTTATCAAACATAGAATGTACAAAATACAAACTGTAGGCACAACACAAAGACAAATACATTAACTCAGATAGCAAACATGTGAGGGTTTGAATCAGTTTATGTTACAACAAAAAACAGGTCTTCTCTCAGCAAGTGACAAGAGTAATGTGAGGATCCGTGACGTCACTTCCTTTGGTCACGTGGGAGCTGCGTGATGGGTTGGCCTCTCAGCTAGTTGGAGCAACTTCTACAAGCAAAGACCTTCACACAGCTCCTTTCTCTGTCAAGAACAAGCAGTAATATGCATCAAGGAGTAATGCAGGAAAAGTAAAATATATATATATATATTAAAAAAACATATGTCTCTATTTTGCCTACCCTCCAGCTCTCTGACTCGGACAGAGAACAACTTTTTTTCATAGCTGAAAACCAGTGGCTGATCCTGTGTGAAAACATGACTGCCAAACTTCATGCAGAACTCTGCTGCCATCTTATCACTGTCAAATGACTCTGATGAAGCACTGCAAAAATGATTGAAGAATGTAGAAACATAATAAAAAACGAGAATTTTCATATTCAAGTGGAGAGTGATGAATTCAACATTCTAAAATGGTTTTGAGGCAAATACTTATCACAACATTAACAAGATTGCATGACCCCAGTATCCATGAAGATGCAGGTAGAGAATAGTTCTTCAGCAATCCATGCTTGCCGTAAAAGGCAACTACGCTTGTCGTAAGAGGCGACTAACGAGATTGGGTGAGTCAGGTTCGCTGACATGCTTGATGCATGTCATTGTATCCCAATTGCGTAGATCGATGCTCATGATGTTAATCAATGGATTGTCTGGTCCAGACTATTATTTACAGACAGCCGTCATATAGATGGAATATATTCAAAATATGAAACAGTAATATTAATCTGATGACAAACATACATTCATAAGGAAAATCCTTATTGCCAAATATTACCATTCAATATCAGCCTACTATTTCTATAAATACAAGTATCGTCTGCCAGGTTCTTGATTTGTATTGACAATAGGTCAATTAACAACTATTTACCAATTGTTAATGTCTTTTCTTTCATGAATGCATATCAGAGGTGATGTAGGTGAAATTAGGCTTAACATCGTGTCAAAGATTATTGCACTTACATAGCAACATGCATACATGTGTGTGTAGCTGCTTGTACTAGTTCGGAGTAATGTTGATTTTATAGTACTAGCCCACTGAGATACCATGCCGCAGTTTAACATAAATACTGCACTCAGACACAGTATACTGACTCTGAGCTGACCTGTCCTTGTTTTATACCCTTAATGCCTAGCGCCAGACAGGGTAACAACAAGTACCATCTTTTAACATTTTTCGGAATGATGCGTGAAGCAATCGAACCCCCGATATTCCACTCTGCATGTTCTGCTTCTTATACGTGACACCTGGAGAACTGGAACTTCAAGTTATAGCAAATAGCAACAAGAGCCCAACAATCCTTCACAATATTTATTGTGAAACTTTGTTACATGAGGAAATAAAATCTGGCAAACAATGAGCAGTAGCTTGTGGTGACACTCAGATCAGAACTTCAGAACACGGCTAACGTGCGATAGTATTATTTTCAAAAACAAGTCATTATGCAGAATTGACTAATTGGCGAAACATAAATTTCCACATAATGGTAGATATGTTTAGATATGACCAGATCATAATACTGTGCACACAAAACTGCAGGCATCATTCTTGCAAAGAAACTGTGGATCAAGAGAAATTTTGAAAATGTGAAAGTTTTTCAAGTGACATAAAATATGACAACACACCATAAGCTAACCAGACTTTCAATGAGGTGACTAAATTTGTAAATTTTCTAATAAATTGAATATTTTTATACTTATCCTATCTAATACTATGCATCTCTACTTATTCTTTGATCTGGGTGTGGAAATATACTAGAACAAAGTTTCCAGCTTCAAAAAAATACTGATCACCCCAACACATCACCAAATCTCTACTGTGATCATGGGTCACGCACCACTGCAATCCCGTGCGACACGACCCCTGCGATCTGATCACCTGACATATCCAGCACCCTCATTCTCAATCTAGAGTGTACAGGCTGGTGTAACTGTGATGCAGGGATGGTTAGGTGGTCATTTAGCGTGTGAGATAGGATAAGTATATAAAGATACAATTTATTAGAAAATTTACAATTTTTTAACCATGAGCCAGGCGAAACCTAATCGGCAACGACTTAAACCTCACACTGGATAGGAGGAGGTGTTTTGTTACAAACACCCTGTCCCCGGCCAGTAGGTTGTACAAGACAGACCTCACACATACGCTCTGAAGGACGTAAGGCGGACCAGCTTGGCATCTCTTTTTTCGTTTCATTAACCAATCAAACTCATGTCGAGATTGAATAAGGTAACAACGAGAAGAGGAAACAATCGACAATACCTGTTTTTTACACAGGTCCTCAATCAGCTACTGAGACATCACATGCACAAGACAGAGGTGAGCAGGTAGAAGATCGGAAACATTTAAACAAATGGCCGCACCGGTGTTGGCTTTTACTGACGTAGACCTGTTTTTCACATGGGTCAATCAACTCCTTACACTGCCCTGCAAAAGACAGAGGTGAGCGGGTGGAAGATTGGGAAAGCATTAATCTAACTAATACGAGCCGCATAGCCAGAGTGAGGAGAAAGACTATCTTGAATGCAATGAGTTCAAAAGTCTTATCTGGAAGTGGTTTAATTTAACTTGTTAAAAATAACCAAAAAAACCTAATCTCTGTGTAAGTGACACCTTGACATTCAGGCGATAGAATTGAGAATGAGGGTGCTGGATATGTCAGGTGATCAGATTGCAGGGGTCGTGTCGCACGGGAATGCAGTGGTGAGTGACCCATGATCACAGTTGTGATTTGGTGATGTATGGGATGTGTTGGGGTGATTAGTGTTTTTTGAAGCTAGAAACTTTGTTCTAGGATGTTTCCACACCCGGATCGAAGAATAAGAAGAGATGCAGAGTGTGAGATAGGATAAGTTTGAAAATTTGCTATTGTTGGTGTTGGAACCAGTGTCTGAAACTCAGCAGTTGAAACTGAGAGCCTTAAGGGCCAGCACATTTCAGGAGCTGTATGCCCAGTGGAAAAACTGGAGGCCCAAACACTCTTGCAACATGACAAAAATTACAAAACACAACCAGTCAACCAGAAGCTCTACTGCTACCATGTGAGTTCCAAAAGACTCAAGGGTGATAGATGAAGCCTACATTTATCAAGGAAATTATCAGCTTGTAAAACATCTTTGAGCACTAATACATAACATACACCATTTGAAAGGTCTAATCCTACTGTTATAAATATGAAAGTTATGTTCATCACATTATATCGATAATGCATTTATAACTTAATTAAGTTTGCTTTTGATAAAAGAAATTAAGTATTCATATCGTCCAGATTAAGCACCTAGGAAGCGAAAATTATGGTGATTTTCGGCAATTTTAACATGTTTAAGATTTCATAATAGAGCTATAGAATAACTTATTTCATTGTTAAAGTAATCTGAAAATGATGATAAAAAGAATCTTAAGTATGATCTATCATAACATATTTCCTGAAAATAGTATCTTTCCGCTCAGTGAAATGTAAAAATACAGGGAAATACCTCCAGTTTGGAAACTTTGTATAAATAACATGTGCAAAGATTCTTTTGATGTTTGGTATCGTAAGAAAGTTCTGAACATCAAAAACATTACAGTAACCTTGCTATTAGTGTATTTGGAGTTGAACATGCGATCTTATGGGACAGAAATTGGTTTGTAATGATGCTATTGCCATAATCTAATAAAAGGATTGTGATTGGTCCAAGGCATGACCAAGGCAGCTAATTAATTTACAGCAATGGGTGCCCTCCTCTTGTATAATATATTTCAAATTTAGATGAAAGTCTTTGGATAAATCGTGTTATTTTGCACATTATAAACAGGAAATCGTGACTTACGATTAAAATATGGAATTTTGTGGACATATCGTGCCAGGTTAGGACCTGTGATAAGGATTTCTCATTTTGGCATTAAACATCGTGTCCAAGCCTAAAAATCGAGGTTGAGATGTCATTTGACTTACATTACATGATGATGGAATTTGTAACTTAGATATTAGCTTGCCATTTTTTAAAATATGTTTTTGATATTATTTATTACTTTATTTAAATTATATACGATTTGCTTGAAACGTCTTGATATTGCTCTTTGACATGGTCGATATGGACCTGTTGTCGAAGCATGTGTCCCAGATTACTTTTTTGGTGTGTGTTCACCTCTGGTTGCGATGCAAGCAACACATCTTCGTCTCATGGAATGGACCAGGCATCACACAAAGTCCTGTGCGATATCTGTCCATATCTGCTGGAGCATGTTTCAAAGTTCCTGGAGTGTCTGTGGAACACATGGTTGACGTTGAAGGCGCCGATCCATCTCATCCCACATGTGCTCGATTATTGAGAGATCAGGGAAGCGAGCCAGCCAGGGGATGACATTCACGTTGTTTTGTTGAAGAGAATCCTGAACAAGTCGAGCAATATGAGGCCGGGCGTTGTCCATGTTGAAAGCGAATGCCTTGGTCATGACAACGCAAAAACTGTAGAACAACAGGGCTGATGATCTCGTCGCAGTAGCGCTGTCCATTGAGATTTCCCTTTACACTATCAAACGGGTCCTCTCTCTTGCTGTAATCCCAACCCATACCGTAACGCTGCCGTCCCCGAACTTCTTCCATGACACTATGATTGACGTAACTTTCACCTCGACGTTGGTACACTCAAATCCGTCCATCGCTGTGGCTGAGGTGAAAACGAGACTCGTCAGTGAATAGAACTTGTCCCCACTGCATGGCCGTCCCGCGTAGCGCCTGTCTGCACCACTGTAGACGTGTTTGACAGTGGTTACCTGTCAACATGGGACGTCTGGCGGAGCTTCTGGCGACAATCCCTGCACATCTGAGGCGACGACGTACGGTTTGTGAAGATATTCGTCGAAGGCCAGGGATGCTTCTTGCAGTCACTGTTGCTGGCTGGAATCGATTTCGTAGGTGTGTTGTTGGAATCCAGTTGTCTTGTTGATAATTGGTTACGCGTGGCCTGCCATTCCGAGGATGGTCTTTGACTGCATTCGTCTGTTGCCAACGTTGCCATAAAGACCAAATGGTGTTTCTGTTGACGTTTAATTGTCTTGCAACATCACGTTGACTTGATCCTGCTTCAAGCATACCAATGGCTCGCAGAAGCTCATTTTCGGACAGGTGTGGCATTTCGTAATGTTGAATAATTGCGGAATTTTGTTGTTTTTCTGAGTGGTTGTTGTCAGCACATTGCTAAACAATGCATATGGAATCCTGTTAACGCACGTTTTCATACCCATTCTTGGGTATGGGGCACTTTTGCATGGAATGCATGCTTTTCTGTAGCAGTTTTTGTGACAAGATTCCATACATGTACTACAATATTGAAAACCAAACTTTACTTGTTTGAAAAATACACTAAAATATTGGTGTCACAGGAACTTTTGTTGTTGAGTTTATTATTTTGACATGGCTACTGTGTGGCCAGTAGACCGGCCTGCGGTGTTAAAAGCGTTAACAAGTGAAATACTTTGAAGATGGACCCTGTTTCACTAAGCAATCTCAGTGTTATGAATCATTTACAAAGTTTACAGGTTAAAATAAACTGCAGACCATAAGGGCAAGCTGAAATTGAAAACTATCAGCCCGAGAACATACCTGTCGGCCTCCGGTCTATGGGCCGAAGTCTATTTGAACACTGGTTGAAACAGACCACCAGTATCCTTGGGCATTGTATAGCTTTAAAATAATCTGAAATAGTCCAGAGGCCAAAGCCTTTTTCCCAAAGCCTTGGGTAAGCTGCTCTATACTTGCAACAAACAGCACAGCACCAGAGCCTGTATTATGGGCACTTACTTTTTCTTGTTGAGGAAGTCGATCTCCAGCACAATGGATCCGACTGTCTCCCTGCGGGTGTCCAGCTTCACCACCTCCACAGGCAGGTCTGCGTTCAGGGTGATGCTGGCCCACTTCCTCTGCAAACACACAAACCCATAAATGGGTACTTGCAGTTTCAATGTTGAGGGTCCAGGTCTGTTTTGAAGACCATATATTAAGAAAATATGTCTATCTGTGTTTTAATATGTGAAGTAAAATAAGAGGTAAGACAAAAGCAGGTGATTGACAAAACCAGAAGCAAGAGCTGTCAAAATATTTCCCCTACACAAGAATATCCTAAGATATGGTCCTGGTTTAGGAAAACTCCTGGATGCACTTTACAGTAATATTTCTACAGAGATTCTGTTACAGATCAACGTCAATATTTTGTCAGTGCACTCGTACTTAATAAATGTCCGAACAAGCATTTATTTGGATGAGAAATAAGCCATCATTCTATCCATGTCACAGCCTGGTTTTCACCATCATCCCGAGGCAAGGGAGTTAACTGACTATAAAAACCTGTTTCCACCCTTGCCGAACTAGGCTGGAATTTCATGGCTCAATCAAATCATCTGAGCACAAAAGTAAAAACATGAAAAGATACGGAAAATATCTGTTGACACCCAGTGGACAGTACACATTCTTTTCAAATCCAGCAGTCGACCAAGTCTGCACATTGAAATCCATGTTGTTCACAAACCAGATGTCTAGATTGTTACTCGATCTTGATTGGACTATGCATAGACTAGTTAGTCCAGCCAAAATGTAACTCCGGAATTCTAGCCAAGTTAGGCAAGGGTGGAAACTGGACTTTTATAATCAGTTAACTTCCTTGCCTCGAGAAGATTGGGTTTCAGCTAGCCTCCGATAACTGTGAGTTGATCATCATGACACTGCATGCTCATTAAAGTGCGGGCTCATCCCTCCAGACAGTTCAAAGGGAGGAAGGTAACCAAAGGCAGAAAGACAATGCAGCATGCAATAAGGGCACTTGGACCTTGGTCCTGGTAAGCTAAACACATCCCCCAAAACACAGATAATAACTACCAACTTACGTGCATGGCATTGAAGCCAATCCTGCCAGGGCTGATGATGGGATCTGGCATGGCAGTGAACAGGAATTGAGCATGTGGCGAAACTGTCACCTGTATGTGTCTGAAGAAAACACCAATCAAACATCAGATGATACTGTGATGCTTTTTTTAAAAATCGAAATTATTTACTTTTGATTTCTATACATAAGCTTTGCTGAATTTGACTCACCACAATCAATAAACAGTTTCTAAAAGACTGAATAGCTGCAATCTGTATCACCAGTGTTCCCCCTTACCGGTAATTACCAGATTTTTACAGGTACATTGAGGCTTGGAATGATAATTCATGTGACTGCCAGTCCCTGTGGCCCAGCAAATAATGTACCTTATAAATCATTGTTGTTGAATATAACATCGGCAATATTCATAAAAGTATATTTTTCTAACTAAGTCAGCTTGTCTGTTACCATCAGGGTTTCCCCTTGTCTATTTTTAGTGCAAGGGAATAACATTTTGCTTTGCTTCAAGATTAAATATATATTTGTAGCGACTTTGTCTCGAAATGTAAAAAAAAAAAAGAAGAAAATTGTGACTGAACTTTGTGTGAATGATGTGCAGATCTAATAAAGTTACTTCAGAGATGAAATGAACATGATGTTGAAAGATTTAAAAGCAGGTAATTTTCATACGTTTTTTAATTGTTTAAACATGTTAAAGTTGGGACTGACATAAATTACCGGGGAATGGTAATTGTTAGAGTTGCCAGTCCACTAGGAACAATGATCAATGGTACTACAACATCAACATCTATACTCTAAAACCAACACCTCATCGGTTGCCTCCAACTACAAACAACATGATTCACTGGTCCCCAAGACATCAAGCTAATTTAAGATTTAACTTCATTGTTTTACTTATATTGAGAAATTGTAATAAAAAATTGTAAGTACCAGTCAGGCCACAAAACCATGTTCTGGCAAGGATCATTCAAGTCAACAAACAAATTCTTTATAGGTCTGAATGAATAATTTACTAGATTGATGAATATAATTGTAGACTGTATCTATAACTGATACAATCTTCATACATCATGATGAATCTGTTGACTCAAGTGTATACTCACTGGCCATTTTGGAAGTCACTGGGGCTTGTTATGGCACAGTGACTGAGAGACAGCTCCTCGTTGGGACACTTGACTGACTTGAACATCTGTATAGACAGGAGGAAAGTCAATATACATATACGCAAAATGTTTCAACTCTGCTTAAGAAAAAAAGATGACAAAATAACATGTCTAGCCTTAATCAACAGAATAACTTGTGGATCATCATAGACGTTCATCAGATATCCTTTCCTTCCACATACACTTGTAACCATGGTAACACTTCCACAATATTCATCTACTCTGTCATCATCTCTTAGGCTTACTCTCTCATTTATGAGATCATCATGCAAGGTTGTTGGCACTATGGAAATATATGAACGGATCAATAACCCATTTATTTCCCCCAAGCTGACAACAACACTTTAACCGAAGCAACAGCTAATGGGAGATGTGCAGAATAGGAAAATGACTAGTCAGGTACTTCATCTGCAGTTGACAAACACACAATGCATCTTCTAAGTGTAGCCGGGCGTGGTGTGATGTGTCCAGCCACTGGGCTGCTAGTCAAAACATGAGGCAGTTCTTGAAGATGATGATGATATTTATTCTTTTGTAGTAGATGGTGGGAGGGAAGCTGTAAACAAGAGTCCTCCCTCCATAAAGAGTTCATGCAGAATATGTTATAATTTAATTTAAGCCAAAAGGAAACAGATTAATTTATAGGGATATGTTGGGGAGCACATGGTTGAAGACCATGTGCTCAATTAATGTAACACAAAATGTGTGAGCTGGCAAATATTTAGATATAACAAATTAAATAATTATGCAATTAAATATATTTTACTTTAATGATAAGCTGTGATACCCTTTCTATGAATATATTTGTTCCCAAAGCAGGATGGAAAGAGATAAGAATATTGAAATGTTTCTCACCTGTAAAGAAGAATCCTCCCTCCATAAAGAGTTCATGCAGAATGCATGAGGAGGGCAGGTGAGAAAGGAAGTTAAAGAAGTGGACCAAAGGGCCAATCAAAAGAAAGGTAGCATCTGACAGATATTAAAGGAAGTCAAGATGCTTCAGTCACATAAAGTGGTGGACATATCTAAAAATAGATAGGGGGAAGTCCAGGTGAAGCTGGAGAAATTACAGAGGCTGCAAAAGGGTATCAGGTTGGTGTTAGTTGGCTGACATTCAACTGCAGACAAGGACAACATATAATGAACATATAATGAACACAGAATGAAGTGATGGTGATAATAGATGAACATGTATGTATATATGTATAGAATGAATCTAAGGGGGTTATAAGTGGGTGGTACTTATGTGGCTATAACTCATTCAGAGTTAGCACCACCTCCCGGCTACATAAGTTTCAAAGTTGATACCACCAATTTTCATACTTGTCCGGGGGCAACTAAATCATATTTTCCCACTTGACCAGTACTTAATTTTCATTGGGTTGGGCAAGTAGGTCATAGTAATTCAACACCCCTGGTGACATACTGATGTTTTGTTGTTATTTTACCTTCGAATGTTAACTGGTTTAGAATAATCCTAAGATCATTAAATGATAACACTATGGCTTGATTATGGAGGTCAGCAACAAGTAGATTCATCTAAACAGATTGCAGAATTTTGTCTTGATTTATTTATAAAACGATATCATCATCTCGCTGGTTCACTATAGTCACAGGGTTACACATGTATTTAATAAGGATCAGAGTCATACAGCTAAGTGAGTGAATATGGTTTAACACTGCTTTTAGCATTATTCTAGCAGTATCTCGCCAGAAGACACCAGAATTTCAGAAATGGGCTTCACACATTGTATTCATGTCGGAATTGAACCCATGTCTTCGTCCTGACACACACACACACCGTGTGGCTACAGCACTGGAATAGGCATACAGGTGATGCAACGCAATCTTGTACACAGCCCTGACCCATTCCTAAACTTGGTAGAAGTCATATATATATGCACAATTTGCTTTCATCTGGCTCATATTGTTTTGATCTACCGTTAACCTCACATTATTCAAGAAAGCAATATATATCTATCACCCATCAAAGAAAGAAGTATGACCATGTGAACTATGGAAGAACTATATGTCAATATATGTATTTATTCCTACTAATATTGAATCGGGTGGATGAGCTACCTAATGCAATAGAAAGTCTTAACAAAACATTGAAAAGCCTGACATGGCCTGATTACTGATTCTCATGAAAAAATATCTCCTTTTGCAGGCGAATGAAAGCCTAGTGTTGCTCTTAGTGTTAGTCTTTGCTCATCATTGTGACCGAAAAAGCCTCACTGATGACTGTAGGTGTAAACTGCTCTAATAACCCGTCGTGTAGCCTAAACTGCTCTAATAACATGTCGTGTAGCCTAAACTGCTCTAATAACCTGTCGTGTAGCCTAAACTGCTCTAATAACCTGTCGTGTAGCCTAAACTGCTCGAGTAAAATGTATTAAACATGGCAGCACAGACATATTTTTCGTTTCGTCCCTAAGGTTGCGAAAGATGTAACCGCTCTCAAGTGTTACATGCTTGTGCCACTCAATAGTTAGAAACAATATCCGCACATTGCCACCGTGATACTAAATTACTGATGTTGGCCTTATTTTACACACAGCAAAATGTAAATCGGTCAATGTAATTCTCTAAATCACAGTACGCCTACCATAGCCATGTTATCAAAGGGCGGTAACTCCAACTCGCATCATAGGAAATGTGACTTCGTTTGAACGATAACTAATGCTGTCGTTTTCGTAAAGATAATCAGCTAGGTAACGTCCGCGGTGGAGTGTACGTCTCGCACGACGTATGTTGGAAATCTGAACTCCAAAAAGCACTACAGACAGCTTTATACGAAACAATTCTTGCTGACCAATATGAATCGATTGAGTCGTGTAGACCGAGAATCTATTTATAGAAAAACTCCGTCATCAACTCCACGTCAGGACTGCCAGCATCGAAGTGACACCACTTACATGACTAACGCGCCTCAGTCCCACTACGCCTGAATCAAATGTTAACTAATTCACGAAATAGATATTGGTGTTCTTATAACTGCCTATACCCGGATGCCAAATAGCTTATTATATGGTACATTACAACTTGCAACAGTAGATTATGGCTAATATTAAAAAATAAAAGAGGTTTCGGCTAATAGCAGAGGCTTAGCAGACAAAAATAAGAGAAAGGAAGAAATATATATTTAGACGAAAAGACATCTCCCCGAGGCAAGGGAGTTAACTGACTATAAAAGTCTTATCTTTCATTGGGCACTAGGCTCTGGTTTCTGGCTTCTGGCACAACGTCATTTTGACCGGTGGCCCAACGTTGGCCCAACGTTGGGACAACGATATTTAGCCAACGTTGGGCCAACGTTGGGCCGCCGGTCAAAATGACGTTGGGCCAACGTCTGACTGCTATCTGGGTGTCTCACACTGGCGTGTAGCCGTTTTCGCCAAATGCGGCGCCGTTTTGCCGAGGTGCCGTTTTAGCCTGCACCTGTCGATTTGCTGTTAAACACAGCTTAGCGTGGGGTGAGGTGAGGTGAGATGAGGTGAGGTGAAATAGGGTTTACGTCGCGTCCAAGATTATTGCACTTATATAGCGACGTGCATGTACGTGTGTGTGTTTGTGTGGCTGCTTGTACCAGTCCGGGCTGATGCCGATTTATAGTGCTAGCTCACTGAGATACCATGCCGCAGTTTAACATGAATATCCCTCTCAGACACAGTATACTGACTCCGATCGACCAGTCCTTTTTTAGCCCCTTAATGCCGAGCGCCAGACAGGGTAACAACAAGTACCATCTTTAAACGTCTTTTGGTATGACGCGGCCGGGGATCGAACCCCGGAACCTCCGCTCTCCGGGCGGACGCTCTACCACTAGACCACGGGAGCGTGACAAGAGGTAAAGGATAGCGGAAATAAACCTTTGAGGCAATATCGATACCCATTTCTGATTTGTTATATGTGATCTATGAAGATTTGAATATTACAAAGGTCGCATGTTAATTAATTTCTTCAGTCTATACAGACCGACAAAAAGAATGGTGGGAGCTCTTTGGATACTGTCATTTGGAAATACCCCTGATGGTTATAGTTGGATTTGAAAACACCCGCAGTGTACCTATTTTGTTAAGGGTGTAAGGACGCAAAAGATATGACGTCAAAGCAAGTTGTACATCTAGAAAAGCACCAAATTTCGAGTACTCTGTTGTCCCCAATACCATCTCTTTTCAGATTTCTTTTGCGTTTTCTGCACAACATGTATGACCACACATCCTTTGAATATTGTAGCAACCTTAACTTTGCATTTTGTAACTTATTATGGTACATATCAATACTTAAAATCAAATGCCTACTGACAATGGCTGAAAATGAAGTACTACATTTTCCATAAATATTAGCTTCCACGGTGATGCGTGCGTCTGTTGTGCCTACAATGTAGGTTTAAGGACTCTAAATGCGTCAATTCGGCTGTTTCAGCCAGAGGGGTTTATTGTGATTTATATTTATAACCTCTGATTTACCAATGAGAATCAAGTAATTTCCACATTAATGATAGATTTGGTTATTAGCGCATTCTACCTGAACGGATTCATTGATTAGTAACGCATTCTCACTGTCAGTGAACGGATAAATTGTTAGCAACGCATTCTACCTGCATGAACAATTATTTTCCTTCTTTACTATCTACATTCACATGACACTCCACCATAATTAATATCGGCCTTAGGCTGTTCTCCTGTTGCGTGCGGATCAACCTGCCACTTGTCACTTAAACCGAAAAGTATCGATCTGGACCACAGCTAGGCGCCTGAAACAGGATAGGGATGTTACTGAAACACCGGACCCATAATATACAGAGGTCTTCACGCGAGTCTGTTTGGGAATGGTAAATATCCATTATTAGGAGTAAACATTGTATTTAGTAAGCCTTGGTGAGCTAAATATATGGTGTTTATTCCTAATACAGGATATTCGCCATCCCCAAACAAAAAAGCGTGATAACCTCTTTATCATATAATGTCATTCTATAATTTTGTGCTCGAAAACATTCTTCCCATCTCTCACAAACATTCCCTAAACATTGCAAGTTTTCCTGGAATGTGCGCATTGATATATATCAATCAATCTTTATTCATGGTACTTATGAGGCCAAAGGCCTATAGTACAATGTGTGGGGCGTGTTACAAATTCATACATTTTCTTAGTTTCATGGCATGATAAATGAACATTGATAGATTTCTAATAGTTTCTGTACAATCACAAGTCATTAATTTACAAAATTTGTTACCGTTTGGGTTGCGGTAGAAATAGTTATTTAGATATTTTGCTCTTAAATCTTCATACACTGGACATAAACATAAAAAGTGATATTCATCTTCAGTACAATCAGTTTTACAAATCCTACAAAGTCTGTGTTCTCTTGCAATACCTTCATATCTGCCTGTTTCAATAGATAGATCATGTGAGCCACAACGGAATCGAGAAAGAGCTGGTCTAAACTTATGTAAATTTACACTTAATAGATAAGGTTCTAATATAATAGTAGTCTTAAATGTAGTGTAATAGTTTGCTTTTCTAGAACTAAACATATATATATATATATATATCAGAAGGCAAGATATGTGTCAGTCAGAAAGTGACAATTGTCAATATAGTTCCAACTGAAACCTGTTTCTTATACAGTGGCGTAGCTCCATATAGGCAAAACAACAATTGCCGACACAAATTGTTTCTACTTGACTTTCACGGCAATGCAACGGTCTTTCCGCTAGGGAACTGCCCTTTATCATACAGACGCTACTCTAACCCTTGTCTGTGTGACGCCACGTTTGTTTAGAGTCTGCCTTCCCTGTCTTAACGTTACAAAGTGCAGTCATATGTGCAAACAGCGACAAAACGAAACAAGGTAACAATTCGGACATATTTTGGCCAAATCCAAGATTTTAATTGGGAGAAAAGGTTCCAAGCCGCACAAGTCTACAAGTACAGCTAATTAATCCGGCTAAGCTTATCAAAGAAGTATATACGTCTTTGGCTAAATGGTTCGCAATTTACATTTAAAGTTGTCAAAACTTGTAAAATGCTACGTCACGGTTAGAAACTGATTTTCAGTTTATTGGACTATTCCTTTTTTTAGTGATATCAATTATGCCAGTAGTTTCTCCAGATTCCCGATGGTTAATTCTAAATGGATATACGAATGACAAAGGTCGCATGAGACTCTGGGAAGAAGAGTGTCCGGCGCAGTGCTGACTGGTTGCTTTATCCTGCTGAGAAAACTACCCATTATACGATAGAGGATGACATCGGCTGTATCGATTAAATTAAGATTGAAGGCAAGTTTAATGAATTTCAAATGTACTCTTTCCAATACTGACTGATTTTCGTATCCCCAAGTTTCACAACCATAGGTTTAAATAGGCAAGATTAGTACGCCAAAGACTTTGAGAAGACAATCAACAGGTAAATTTAAATTCCGTGCTCTTTTTAAATAAACAAAACATGGCTTTTAAAGCTCTATCAGCAATATTTTCAATTGCACATACAAAACGACGGTTTCGATGGAATAAAATACCAAGATAGACATAACTATTTACAATTTTTAAATCAACAGAGTCAAAATGAAACTTCAAATCCTGGGGTATTTTGGTACCTGATCCACATATTAATATTTTAGTTTTACAGGTGTTTACCTCTAATTTCCAATATTTGTGAAATGAATCAAGGGACTTTTGAAGTTCAGGTGCGTTGTCAGCAAATAGGACTGTGTCGTCAGAGTACAGGATAATAAGGAATTGTAAAATTGTAGCAGAATGTTCTTCTGGAATGTCAAGCTTTACACCGTTACAGTTATCCGCGGATAGGTAATTTTCCAAGTCGTTTAAATAAGTTTTCACCTTGTCGTACGCCGGAAGCGTATACAAAATAGCCAGACAGGTTGTTTTTTAGCAAACGCATGATTTAATATATCGGTACATATTTTTAATAACATTCAAAGATTTTCCACGAACACCTTGTTTTTGTAATGTATGCCATAGGCCGACTCTCCAGACTTTGTCAAACGCTTTTGAGAAGTCGATAAATGCGCAGAACAACTTTTGTTTGATTGTTTAAGGATATTGATCAGTATGTGGAAAAAGAATATATTATCCATGATTTAGTGGTCCTTGCGAAATCCGGGTTGTGCTTCACTTATAATTCTATGGTTTTCAATACATTTAGTAAGTCTTTCACTAAGTATACTCGTAAATAGTTCCCGAAACAGGTGAGAATAGTAATTGGACCGTAAAAGTTTGGGTCAGAACGATCTCCTTTTTTCTTATATATATATATATATAGGTTTTATTACGCCGGTCGACGGCCACGCCTCTGTCAACAATGGTCACCGGAAGTTTTGATCCGAAACACACACAACGGCCTTGAACATGGGGTCAAATCATGGGAAGCTGGAGTCAACAGGTCACTCTAAAACTATTGTCACACTGAAGAGCCAATTTAAACAGGGCACTATATTCTATTTTACTTCCGCTTCAGGTACCTATGGTCTGAGACCAGCAGACGACGCATTATAATAAGGGACGTAACTCCAATTTCTTACCACCCGGGCTGATATCGATCGGGCGTTGAAGATGCATCCACATGCCATGTCAGCCCGGCCGGTGCAATACGGGTCAGGTTATTACACCCCGTGTAATGTGACTGTCTCTATGGTGGTTCTGTCGCAAATAAAAACTGCTTGATATAATTGACAGGTATATGATAAAATCCTCTGAAATTATTCTACGCCTACCTGAGCCATAGTATCTTCTTCCAACTCGCATCAGAACATCAGAAGGAAATGTGATAACTGATATCGTG